ACTTTTTTTTTTATAAACAACCGTTTAATAAAATATAAATTTTTGTTGCATTCAAATATACGTTTATAATCAATATAATATTATTGCACCTACAATAATATTATGTTTTACCATTTGATTACAATAGTAATAGAAATTTATTTAAAAAAGGTCTTATCAGGCTTATTGTGTGAAAAGAAAAACAATAATTTCCACATTACATTATATTCTACATAACTTTCAAAATTATATTCCTTCATACTATAGCATTAAAAGGAATAACTGCTACTTTAAAAATAAACCCGCTAAAAAGTTTCTATAACATATTATTATATACTTATAAGTACACGCACGTGTTATAATTTCTTTAGAAAAGACATTGCGCACGTATAACTATTTCAACGTCAAATTTTGATTATACTTAGTATTATTATTTACAAAACGTGTGCTCCGTACACGCGCGTGTTTCGTATAATTATATTCCCTTAATAAAATATAAATAATTAAGAAATATGCACACAGATTTGCAGAAAACACACGTTTTTTTGACGAAAAAACTGCAGTTCGATCAGACGCGTCAGCGACGGAATTTCGATCACCGTCATTTATTTTTTCTACGACAACACTCGACCTTTGGCCACGTGATATTCGACAGGATCATTACCCCTCCCTCGATCTTCGGTTTCGATTTTCAATCTACTATAAAGGTAATAAATTTATATTTATATTTTCATCGGAATAGGTATATTTATATGGCTAGATCGACCGTGAATATTGATCACAGTTACAACAAAACATACAATTTCGAGACAGATATATAGTACCGGGGAAAAAGTCAATTGTATACAGTTTTCAAGTGTCGAAAGTGCATAATTACACTTACACGGTGTCGAACAATGAAATTTTCAAAATTTATCAAACGAATGAATGTATAATGTATATACGCGTATCCGCCTATCTACCATATGGTTCAGCAAAGTTTTTAACAAGACGGGGTTTAAAATAATATTATAAATTATTTAGTTGTTCGAAACATAGTAGAAATAACATTACTATTCTATACCAAGTATTTTCAAACACTATAGGTCGACACACCGACACCATCTGATGTGCGTCACTACACTTTATGCCATTTAAACCGATAATTAAATGGGAGAAAATAATAAAAAAAAAAAAAATGCCAAAAATTGACTCGAGCCTTCTCTTCCCTAGAATCAAATGTATATATACGGCAGGTACCGTAATTCAAACCGATAATATAATATTGTAGCGTACAGTTGTAAATAAATATGCTATAATTAGTATATTACGAGGTGCCTAGAACGCAATGCAATATTAGTAACATATTATAGCATCTATTAGAGAAAATCAAATTTAAAGTTATTTGTATTTAATATAATTTATTATACAGTATATTATCATATCATCACTGTTCTTGTATTTGAATGGTGAAAAAAAGTTTCAGACACTTGGCGGTAAAGATACATAAATGTGTTAACAGCTGTAGTGGACGCTTAAATACCCATAATATACTCCTAATCTATTAAATTATGGCATTTTTATTTGAATACTATTTTAATGGCACCTAGTATTTGATACTTGATCACAGCACATGACGAATAATTCCCTTATATTTCTTTACCACGAAATAAAATAGAAAATTTGTAGTTCAGCTGTGCACTTATCTCAGATTTTTTTTAAAATGTCACTTACACCCTTCGTGTTTTAGGTGTCTTATATATACTAATGTTAGTAATGTATGAGGCCGAGTCGCCACGTATGGCCAGTATCCCTGCTACGGTCATCACTAATTTTCATTTTAGCCGTAAACAGTGCAATTTTGTAATTCGATGAGCCACCATATAATGATTTTTGTTATATCCATTTACACTATGGTTAACAATAAGTTGACTGATTTGAGCGTTATATTTAACTCTCACAGAATTCGTACACACGCCATCAATTTAATTCTCATTCATTCATAGGTTTTTAATATGCATACGAGTTGTTTTTGACCCTCATTTTATTCCATATTCCAATAGAAAATCTATTTTTATTAACAATAATGCCCGAGCCATCATATTATAATGGTAAACCAAAATATTTCAGACGAAAAAATATATTGAATATTAAATTTAACCCTGAAAGCGCGCGAAGGAATTTCTCTCAAAATAGCTTGCCGGTCAACTTATTGTTAATTCACTGGGCGATATCAATAATTTTATTACAAAAACATAGATAACGTATAAATATCCCAAATGTAATATTGAATTTTCATTCCGTACAATAATGTTTTTTTATATAGCGATAGATACTTCTGTATGGTTTAGCTTTGGATTTGCTCCATAAATACCGTGGACGTACAGATTAAATCGAACGTTAATAGAAAACAATAATTCTCAAGACGGCCGTCGTGCGCGACATAGGCGCAACCGATGGCTCCGCACTGAAGCGAAATTTGTTTTTGTTTTTTTCCGAGAATATTTCCCGATATACTACCGCGCAGGCGGCGGCGGTGTGTTATCAAAACCCGCGTTTAAGAACTGATTTACGTTTTTTTATCGACATTATAATATCGCGCGTTTTCGCCGTTGCACAGTCGTCGCCGTTATACTCGTATATAATATACATACATATATACACGTATATAGGCAGGTATATATTTCAATTGGCCCCCACAGACAATGTCGTTGGCGTTTATACACACACACACACACAATATATATATAATAAACGCGCGTTATATTGCCGATGTGCTGCTTCAGCACGCGCAGTCCTTTTGCCTCGCGAACGTTCTATTCTCGCCGTACACACGCGTATATTTATTGTCGTCGCGGCGACGACGGTGATGGGCTCGCCCGGTGAGAAGCTGACAAAATTTACGAGTTTGAGACGCCGGGACCCTTAAATTTACACACACACACACACACACATCGCTCGACGGGCCATAAATCGTTTTGGCGCACATTTCTCCGGGATGTGCGCGATGTGTATAATAATATACCTATATAATAATAATAATAATAATATATACGACGGAAACGCGTGGATTTTCGTTTAGCCGTTTTGTACGCGTCGCATATTATAACGTATTATTGTACGGCGTACGGTACGGCTGCGCAGGTATACGGATATCAGCGGCGCCGCCGGTACACGCAACTAATATCGTGTGTAATAAGCGGTTCGAACAGACCGCTTGAATTTTAGGGCGACCAGAGTACCCGGGCGTGTGCACGTAGCCGCGTGTAGACAGTGGGAGTGTTATCGTTGCAGGTATAAAATAGGCGCGAAATTTTCTCGCGTTCGGCCGGGTGGGCGGGTGTGTGTAGGTTCGCGCAAAGGCGCGAACGGCGAGCGGAACCCGCGCTTAAAGACCCCCGTCCCCGCGTCCCGGACTCGGATAGGTACCGGACGCGACAATGTGTGCCTGAAATACGGACTGTCGGTGGTCAACGGTTTGGTAATAGTGGTCCGGGACGAAAATAACGTGCCGCAGTGCGGAGCGTGCATAGATCAGAGGTTCCCAAAGGAGTCCGTGTTATCGAAAACGAAAATTGGGCGCGCGCGCGTGCGAGGTGTAAACGGGCGTCGACGAGAAAAAAAGTTTCGGAACCTCCGGTATGGATTGTAATAGCTGCTGTATGAGACGTGGAGCGAACAGATATTTCTAGGGGCGTTCGAAATGCGGATGCGCGGCATATGCAGAGCCGAACGGAAAGACCGTGCGACGAATACGAACATAATCTTATACATTTACGTTTATTGATAAAAAAAAAAGAAAACTCGAGTTGAAGGAACAACAGAACCTTTGATGAACGCCATCACGTTGCAATACAATGCGACACGGGGTGTATTATATGTTGGTGATGCAGGTTTACGACACGGTACGGAGAATAGCGTCACGCCGGGAAGGTCGAAAAATGCACATGCAGACCGACGTGAACCGAACTGAACAATGCACGGGCGCACACGGACACCCTTGAGCTGCGGGATCGCGCGGGCACGGTGACGTGCGGAACGCCGCGAGAAATCGAGAGTAAAATATTGACGTAAACCTACCCGGAAAACGGTTTACCCATAAACGCGCGGATGACGTGTCCCGGATGAAAGCCGCGATTTTACGTACCGGTGAAAAAGCCCTTGAAAAAACGAAAAAAAACAAACGTTTGCGACCACAATACCCGTCCCTCAAACCCCCCCCCACCCCGCGATCGTCGGTGCGCGATTCAATATTGCGATTGCGGTACATGTTTTTTGGGTAATGAAAACCGCTCGAAATTCTCTAGCGGTAAAACGATAATGTTGTGATGGTTTTAAACGCCGCGCTGTATCTCGGCAACAGATATTTCCGTACGTACAATTTACTCGGCGTGAATATTCGCGTGCGACAATATTACAATATTGTAATAACACGGCGACGGCGGCGGCGACGACGACGACGACGGCGACGGCGACGTGCGTACGCGGACGATTTCCACGCGTTACAACAGCGGCGGCGGCGAATGGGCCGCGCGGCGGAAAATCGGTCGGTCAGAAAAGGGGGAAAAAAAATAAAACAACGCGGCCCGGGAGCCGCGCGGTACTGGCTCCGGTCGGCGGCGGGCGGGGATGAGTTATGTGCGCGTACCCCGGTGTGGGCGTAGCCCGAAGCCGCCCAGACCACGCCCGGCCGGGCCGTGACGTCACCGTCGGACCGGCTCGGCAACGGTCGGGGCTCGGCGCGCCGACCGGCGTTACCGTCGCCGGCCGCGTTGTTGACACCCGTCAGTCAGTGATGGCCGTGTCCGTGTCCGTGGTCTTTGTGCTTTCCAACGGTTCCGCCGCCGCCGACGCCGTAGCCGCCGCCGCTGCTGCCGACCGCCTCGTCGTCGATTGTTAATTTTTTGTAATATTATTTTAAAGAGAACGATCGGTTTTTTTTTTTTTTTACTGTCTACAATATTATATCGTATTTCACGTTTTCGATCATTCGCCGAACGATCGCGATCATTATTGTTTCAAATTTTTTATTATTATTTTTCCGTACTGTGCTGGCGATATATTATTATTTTTTTATCGGCGTTTTTTTTTTTCCGCGAACGACTGATCCGATATTTTCGGTTTTTTTTCCCGGACCCAAAATCGAAAACCGCCGGCCGACGATGTATAACGACCACCCGCGCAGTTTGTGATTATTTTTTTTCCTTCGTCCATCGCGCGCAACACATACTGTATACAATACTAAAATAATAAAATACATTCGCACCGTCGTCTACGACTCCGCACGCCGCAAATCTCAGCGAGCCGAAACACCGACGATAATGACCAGAAGGAAGCAACACTGCCCCAAACGGATGAAATGTAAGTACCGAAAAACAATTATTATATTACCCGTGTATGGTTATGTTTCCCGTTCGGTTTTCCCGTTAATACGAACCCGTCCCAGCGAAACGCCGGTCTTTTTGCTTTTTTTTTTTTTCGATTTTTTAAATCCGCCTCTGGATTTCGATCTCCTAAAAATCCGTCAAAATCGCTCGGCCGACCGATAATTTATTTTCGATTCGCGGTCGCCGTCTATTAGGTGCGTGTTGTATGTGTATAGGCAGGTGCGCGTAGCATCGGCGAAACAGACGTGGATACTTGACTTTCCAAATGTTATTAGTCGGAAAAAAAAAACGGAAAAAAAAACGCATGAAATAACGACGCGCGCGGTTATATTATCAGAAAAAAAGAAAAAAAAAGACGTATTATTAACCGCGTTTTTATTTTCTCGCCTTTCGCTCGACAATGAACGCACGTGGCCGCGGTATATTATATACGTACCCAGCCTTCCCCCCCGAAAACCTCTCGAAAAGTCTGCGGAAAATCGAAAATCGAAAAAAACAAAAAAAAGTGTTGTAAAAACGTTACAACGTTAAACACGTAGTCGACGCGATTTCGCCGGTTCAATAATACCGAAACCCCCCCGACCCCGTGTATAGGCCATATGAGCGCCCCCGTCGGAAATCCTCGACGTGTTTCGTTTGAAAAATCGCGGGCGTACCTCACAAATGGTCCGGGGGGGGGGGGGAAATAATAACAGCAATCCCGCGCGTAAACCATCGGGCCACACATCACTAACACTATCCGCGGCCGCTCAGAACCAGCGAATAATAATCGTGTGTCCGTTGGTCCGCGGCAATCGCTATTTAACACCGAAAATGTCGCGGTTTTCTCGCATCGCGGTATAATCGCGGGCGGCGCGCCGTTTCCGTAAACGTCCGGCAATCGCGCGTTCCGGGCCCCGGAAACGTATTTGTCCGTCTACGGCCGCGGCAAACCGCGCCGGAGGGGCACGCGAACGATCGCGCCCGCACACAGGCGATGCGCGCCGCGCCACCGTCACGCAATTCGGTCCGCGCGAAGGACGCGCGCGGTCGTCCGTCGCGCGCTCTCGAAAAAATCGCCGTCGCCCGTTCGCAACAACGCGAAAACGGAATGTTGTAACGGCGCGTTTTCACGACACCGGCGGGACGTCGGAATTTTCGTGCCGCGGGTAGGCGAACAACACAATGGCGTAGCCGCACACCGGGGACACAGGTTGCTGCGTCGGGCGCGCGCGAACGATGACTTGCGGCGGCGACGGCTCTCCGCGTCCGTCCGGTCTATACACGCGCGCGTATAGACGGGGGAGATCCCGCGTCTCGCGCGGGGTGCCGTATTATTATTAATGATGACCGCCGCCGCCGCCGCCGCGGGTTTAACACTTTTTTCGCGTGTACTCGCACGTACGTTTTTTTTTTCCTCTTCTTTTTCGTTTTTTTTTTTGTCTCTGTCCGCCGCTCGTCGTCGGCGCCTTCTTTTGATCTCTCACTGTATTATACCGCGCGCCGCACCGCGCGCGTATTTACAAACGATAATCTATCATTTCCCCGTGTATATATATATATGTGTGTGTATGTATGTACATCGCATATTACACTGTACGCGATAAATAATATGTATTCATCGAATCGCGGCGGGAAGGTGGCGTGCGTGCGGCCGCGCGACAACGGTGGTTCACAATAATATTGTCATGCGTTTACGCGGCGGACACTTGTAATAATCGCGCGTGTCATCCCGTACCGCGGTAAAAGCCGACGTTTCGACGGATGTTTTTTCTCTTCCGAGGAACGCCAGTGTCGCCAATACACAATTGGTTTCGCGCCGTACGGTTTATTATTTTTCCCGGCGCGCTCGCGCGCGTATAGCAAACAACTTTACCACCGGAAATCTTTGTTGTCCCGCTGTCCCGCGGTCCGCAATCGGAACCTTCTTGTTTTCGATCCGTACGCCGGCGGCATGCGTACGAATGCCGTTTTTGCGATTTCCCTCGCCGTTTTCACCCCCCCGTCACGGTTATATCGGTTGTCCCGTAACATCAGCGAACCCCGCGATGTTCGGCCGACGGCGGCGGTATTGCGTTACGGGTCGGTTTTTCGCCGTTGTATAGTTCCGATATAATACACGTATAGTTGAATCGGCCTGTTATCACAGTTTAGGCGAGAACATCGTTCGTTTTACTGGCGGAAGGGCGGGGGGTTGGGGCGCGGCGAGATTCGATACCGCGTGAAGTATCGCATTTTAAAAACCCGTAGTGTTTTTCGGCTGAGCAAAACAAATAATACTAATAAAATATCGAAAACGCGCGCGTACAATGTCTGACGACGGGACGAATGTGACAGCGATGTCGACGCTATAACGGCGCGAAATCAACGGTACATCCGATTTTCAACATACCGTAATATTCCAATAACATTATGTGTACAGTAGTCCGAACCGCAGTGAATATCAAAACGCGAGTTTAACACCGTCGTTATAAATATGTATTTTTTTTTTTTTTTCGATTATCAATGAGATTTCAACATGAATTTCGTCTCTCTCGACAGTGTTAAAATCGATAAATTTAGGAAGACAAATAGGTGGTGGTAAATCGCGCTCACAGTTTTGGGTTTTAAAATCCCGATCGATGTACAAAATCAATAATAAGGGCCATAAGGGACGAGCGAGGGAAGAAAAAAAAAGAGAGAGCGTTAATCGAGTTCTATACGCCTCGGTTAGGTCGGGTGGTTACGCGTATGGCGGGAGTGAGACGGACAGTTTCGGAACGAACGTCGGAAATCACGGTTAGCCCCGTCGCAGCAGGGGGGGGGCACAAAACGAGAACGCTGTTGTCGAGTGCCGATCCGAACGAACGGTACCTAATATCGTATAATATTTCCGCGAGATTCCGGTACGTATGTATACACACACGCATAGTAATAATAATAATAATGATGATGATAATAATATGTGGGGGACCTGTTGATGTGCGGGTGTACGGAGCACCGGCTTTTCGCGTTAGAGCGGCCGCGGCGGTCTGCGGACCCGGCCCGGTCGGCGGAGCAACAGCAAACGGCGGCGGCGGCGGCGGCGGCGTCGTCATCGGCCGCGCGGAGCAGGGCGCGTGCGAGGGGCGAACCGCGCGCGCGGGAAAGCGCATCTCTCGCCCTGTCACTGATAAATGAAACGGGGCACGCCACGCCGCACCGTACACACTATATATTTATGTATATATATATATATGTTTATATATGTATACAACGTTTCGAGCATACTGTATATATATATGTATATACGCGCGAGGCTTGATTATTATACCGTTCGCGCCTTCCGGGTGTGCGTGTACGTATATATTTACCGCGGCGGCCTAAATCAACAAGTGAGCGCCGCGCGTATTTTTGCTCCGATTTATTTATATTATTATTGTTGTTGTCGTTGTTGTTGTCGTTGTTGTTGCTGTTGTTGTTGCTGTTGTTGCTGTGTGCCGCGGCGGCGTACATATTTACACCGCCGTAATGCTGCTCGCGTTTCCTCGTGCCGCGGGATTTCGGCTCGGAGCGAACGCTCGGAGAGCCGACTCGAAAAAAATCAAACGGGTCCGCGCCGAGAAACGCCCGGAAAAACGCGAAACGCGCGCGCCGAGTCCGTAAACGCGTTCGCGCTCGCCGCGGTTACGGACGCGTACGATACGTTTTCATACCGCGGAGATTTCGGAAACGTTTGACAGCCCGTCCGAACGGTCGCCCGTTAGGAACTCGAAGAAAACGTCGAAAACGACAAAAATCTCTCTGCGGTGATTCTTTTCTTTTTTTTCTTTTTTTTTGCTTTCGATTCGCCAGAGTTCCGAGCGATTCTTCCGCGTTTTCCCCGTCCTCTCCCCACCCCACTTTTCAAAAAAACACATCGTCGTCCGTCGTGTATACCGATAGAGATGAAAAATACACCAAGACAGTGTCCACCGGCAGTTTATATAGGCTACGCGTACACACACACACACACACACACACACGAGTATTATGACTCGCCGCGAAAATTACATCATTTCACATTACATTTATATTTAATCTCGAGTGTGTTATAGTTGCAGTGGTGCGCGCGCGCGCAGATAACTTATTATTGGACTTATTCCAAAATTGTTTTAATCTTTCGAAATATACGAAGAAAATGTTTTATACGTCGTTATATACGACGGGACGGTATACGGAAAACGTAAAAATAATAGTATTATAATATATTCCTAATGATTCGCGTGATGTATGCAAACCGAAAAAAAACGACAAATCGTAACACTTACCCTATGATACATTTAACCGTAAAGCATTATTAGAAAAAAAAAAAAAAGAGAAGAACTGCTATGCATAAAATATATAGAACGGTGTAAATTGCACTTTCGGCACGCAGTATTATAATAACATATAGGAGAAAATAATGTTTAAATATTGTAAAATGTATATAATACACAGTCAGAGACGTATTCGTTTCAAAGAATTAAAATTTTAAAAATATTAAAAAATAATTCCTATAATATTGTAAGACGTTTTTTTTTTTTTTTTTTTATGAAAAATCGATCAATTTTTTTTCTGTGTTTACGGATAACGTCAACAATATATTGTCCAATATTATTCAAGTGTGCAAATCTTAATCTGAAAAAAAAAACCGAGTTCTCTATTTCTGTATATTATATTGTATTTTATTCGATTGTTATGCGATTCTATTATGAAAACTCTTTTGATTTTACTATCTTACTCCGCAATATATCGTGACGAGATGATAATTTTAAAATTTCTTGCGTTTTATTAGACATATTATGTATTCTATATATTATACAAATTTTTACTATATTTTTCTTTTAATTTTAGATCTTTAACTGTGCAGGAAAGCTCATCGTCCTCCGTTTATAATACGCTGCAGACGAATTATCAAAAACAAAATAAAATCATTCATTTCATCTGAGCCAGTATATTATAATATGTTTACGAATTGTAATGTACAGTACTATTATATCATAGCTAGACCCCGAGTACGATATTTTTCACAACTTCACGGTTTTTTTTTTTTCCGTACAAATTGAGGTAGACGAAAATTGCTGCACAATTATGTAATATTTACACAATATTAATATTAATACAATAAATTGAATAAATATTATATTAACTTACTCATAATAACAATAACACTTGGATATTATTTTTAATGTTTTTATTGTATATACAACGAAACCATTATAATTATTTAAACGATATTATTAAACATTTACGTAATTATTATAGTATTTTTCTAATCAAATCGTGCTATTATATTTACATCGAACTGTAATTTTTCTTAAAAAAAATGCACTTGTTTATTTAAATTAACAAAAAATATAGGGATAAAAGATTTGAAAAAATATAAATGGCGCGGTTATTTTCGTTCTTCATCAAAACTTAAACATCTCTATATATGCGTCGACTCAATTCGATTTGCTTCTAAAAATCTCTATGTTATCGTTTTTGGATTTGAACGAGATTTCTGGTAGATAAGCCAACATTAACGGTTGACATTAAACATACTTCAAACAGCTCTAAATAGTTTAGAAATGTTTTGAGAATGCTTACGTTTACACAAAAAACTTCTACTATTAGTTTTAAGCGAATTACAAAAAAAAAAAATGCTATAGCGTACGCCGCTTAATTTGCAATATTTTCATGCGCACCATCGTCTAATATTGTTGCATGGCGTTCGATTCTTTCACAAAACGCGCATTTTTCGCATTTTCGTTTGTATAATATTATCACCACGATGATACACTAATATCGACTACAAAAACGTTATTCGAATATATGAAATTTAAAATTAAACCGACAACTTAATCAAAAGTTTGTTTACAACGGTCTTTTAATAAATAGTTTGCGGGTAGCGATGGGTGGAACCGACTAATTTTGACTATCGATAGTTTAAAAAACAACCGAGTAAATAGATAGTTTGAAACTATCGAGTATTTTGATTGTTTTCGCTCGGTAGTGCCCATTATTATTTTTGGGACTCTGTGACGTCAATGTATACTTTGTTGTACAGAACGGTCAATTCTATCGTTAATCCCGTCATTATCTCGGGAAGTATACTGTGCATTTTTTTCCGATTTTCTTTTCAAACAAATTAAAAATAATATACTGATTACACAAAAGCTTTTTCCTGTATACTTTTATAGCCACTTTACGTCGCATTTCGATTTTCAAATGGAATTTCTAGACCACTCCCGTTTATATTGAGAACGCGTATAGAATTGGGTGGAAACTTAACAATAACTAATATTGATTATCACTTTCTTCGGTTATTTTCGTTTGGGCAGATCCGAATTAACGGTACAATCGCGTTATCATCGCGCAGACGCAGTTTGTCGGAGAAATAATATTTTACCTTTGATAGAACAAAATTCGCAGTTATTAACAATTTTTCCATTTGCACGAATGAACGACCAGATTGGTCTTGCAATACGCTAAACGGTACGGTCTTTGCTACAAAAAGCGGCGGATATTTTGACGGATGGTTATTTAAGCAGGTTTCTCTTGGTTTCGTCCGAAGCTCGTTCGAGGGGTCTGAGTTTAGTGTTTTACTAAATTCATAAACTATTAGCAATGTATACAATGTAAAAATTATTGATACGCGAAAACAAAATGTAACGTAATAATTATTGATATGAACATATTAAATATGTTTACCATATTACATAATGCCATATTTAAGCGTGTGACAATTAATTATATCTTTGGCCTCGGGGCAAAAACAGCTCGAGTCTATTTCGTATAGTTGTCACTACGAGAAAATTAAATTTTTTAACGGTTAATGAATTGTTAATCGCCAAACGGTTTAAAAACCTAAAGAAGGTTGAGACCGAAGATAGGGTAAGGTAGGGTGCAGGGACGTAGTGGTGATAAGGATAAGAGCCGTAGAATATTTTTTCCCCGGTTCGGTGAAATCGATTACGAATAAACGATAGTATATACCAGGGGTGGCCAAACTGCGGCTCTCGTCATAGATTCATGCGGCTCGCAACTTATCGTAAGGTACAAAACATTTTTATAAAAAAAAAAATTTTTAATATGAATTTATGTATTTGAAGATGCATATTATTTTATTAAATTACAATTTATCGAACACAATTACCAAACAAATATAGTGTTTTTGATGTAATATTTTTAATTGTTAATCAATATTTTATTTGTAAGTTTTTTGATGTCAGCCTTATACGTCGTTAAAGCAGTCCTCACAGTTCCGTTAAATAATCATCCGTTTAAATTGAGCGATGTTTAGCGATTTTATTATTTTCATTGTCTAGTATATAAAGACTCGCCAGAATATGTTGTTCCGAAAATTCTCCACGTTTTATTGTACATTTTGATATCTTATCTAATTTACGATAATCATGTACATACATACATATATATATATTAATATGACCTTTTTTTTTTTTTTTTTTTGCATTTCGGCTCTTCCATATTTATTAATAATATTGTTTGTAATAACCGTGTAACCGATAATGAATAATATAACCAATCGTCAAAACACACTAAATATTTCACCGAAAATGTCGTCCCCCCCCCGTGTCTAGCGCGTTACAATTAGCCGCGCTCTACGCCGGTCCTCACCCCCTCTCCGATTTCTCAATTGAACGCAGTCCGTTCGTTTAACGTATTGTCTATTACTGTACTATACGGTTTCGGTTGCGCGCGAGGACGACGGCCGACCGGCGAACGGAGCGCAGGAGACTCGCGGCGGTGTTTTCCCCGCGTATGACAGTTTAGACAAAAAAGGAACTCGACGTTGATTGACAGCGATTTATATAAAATACGAAAGAGCCGCCGCCGTCGGAGACACGCACGACTCGTCCGTCGCTCCTCTGTCGCATCGGCGGCGGCGGCGCCGGGCCCTCCAGTGCGCGTGCGCTCTCCGCTCGCTGGTCCCCCTCCTCCGCCGGGTCCCCCTTCACGTTTTATATACCCGCGCCCGGTTGATTGATGCGTCGTACCTTACCCGCTTGTACACGCGCACGCACGCACGCACGCCCCAGATTAGATAGGAGAGCGCATTATTATCATTATTATCATTATTATTATTATTATTATTATCATCATTATTATTGTGTGTGTCACACGGACGTCTCTTTTAGACGTAATGATTTTGACATATCTACCGACGACGACCCGAAGAACCGCTGCCGCGGAACGGGGGGGAGGGGGAGACGCGGCTGACACACACGTCACCTAACCTACCTACCGTACTTATCCATCTCTGTATTATTATTATTATTATTATATACCTGTACACTTCATATATTATTATTATTATTATATTATAAAATATAAACTGCACGCGGGAGAGACGGAGAGACAGCGACAGAGGGGAGAGACAGTCGATCGAAATTAGATTACATGTTGTTATTATTACTATACGGATACCGGCGGTGTGCGCACTCTTCGTTTTAACGGTATATTGTCGGTACACGGTGCGGTGTAGCTATACCTATATGTTGCGGGAAAAAAAAAAACGGTTTTTTTTTTATTTTTTCTGTTGTGTCGTGTTTTTTTTTTGTGTAGTTTTGGAGACATCCGCGCGGGTCGGACAGTGCAGACGTCAGCGCGCGTAGTGTAGCGGTAAAAATGTGTTCGAAACCGCTCGAAAAAAATAATAAAATAAAATAAGGGTGTCCTCCCGGCGACGGTAAACTATCGGAATGTCGGAATTTCGAGTACATTATTTTGTTTGACTACGACGACCGTTTCGATCCGTGCGGACGGGAGTGCAGACTCGATGTTTTAAAATACGAAATTCGGTAAATATAACACGCCGTTTGAACGGGGGCGCGTCATAATATCGTCGTAAATCCGACCGAAACAATGTGCGCGGTACACTATATTAGAGGGCAATACGGAAATCTTAAAAGAGCGTCGTTTTATACGCAAACGAATAATATGATTAAAACGTCAAAAACGTGCATGTAATATACGTGCGTAATCGATTATTATTGTTATTGTTATTAATTTACGGGCCTCTATATTCACAGTACAGACTGATTATAGTGTACAGGCGATATTCTGGGAGAATTTCCGGTTTTTTTTTTTTTAAATTTTTAATTATTTTACACAGAACCGTTTAAGCTTTATTTCAATATCATTTTAGAATTTCGCGCTTTTAATCGATCACACACACACTTTAGACGAACGTACACATTTCGAAACACCATCGACTCCCCCTAATTTACAAACACGTATTCGAATAGTTTTCTATACAAACGTTGCTATTATATCCCGTATGAGAGTTATAGTTTAAAATTTAGACCGGATGAGCACAGAAGAGCGTCGTATTAACTTCTTGTCTGTTTTTGACGATCGAAAGAACACGTGGCAATTAAATTCCTTTAAAATCCTCCGAACAAAAAAAAAAAAACCAACGCTGGTTAGCGGTCAATAATAGATCGCTCTGTATTATTGTAAAAAGGCACATTTGCGGACACGATAACTCGTGTTGCGCAATATATGTATATATATATAGATTCGTATTATTATCTTTTTATCGGTATCTATACGTTTTGTATACATTACGTCGCGCGCAACGTAATTATTATTTGATCGATCATTTCGCATTCGCATTCCGACGAGCATAATGCTATTTTTTCGTGTTCGCCTAAATTATTATACCAATGTTAAAATGTTAAATTATACTTCTTATAAAGCTATAATAATATGATATCCGCACGGCATCTGTTGAATACAAACGCATTAAATATTTGTTTATTGTCACGTGCGCGGCAATCGAAACGTACGTTATAAAGTGTGCGGTATAAAATTATAATTAAAATCGTTATGTGTATGTACTATATAAACTGTGAGTACCTTAGAAATTACAATTATCATAATATTATCTGTTGAGAGGACGTCGTGGCGCGTTCAGTGTCGAAAAGGGGTTGCGCAGACGATGATTTTCGTTTCAGTTTTCGAACAAATCGCGGAAAACACTCGTTCCAGCAGCAAAGCGGACAAAACATAAAGGTACCCTCTTTTAAAGCGATTTTAGAGTTTTGATTGTTATGGAAATTGATTAATACGACTGTGTGGAGAACAATGGAACAATATATTTTATTATAGTTGTACGTATATATTGCTCGAATAAGACGGTACCTGTACGCGATTGATATTATAATATTTATTTCGAGACCGAAAAGTGGTGGGATTTTTTTTTTTTTTTTTTACAATTGTATAAAACACCACAACGAATCCGTAACTTTTTTTTGTTCATCTCCAATGGATAAAGCGGTGTTAAACAAAAAAAAAAAAAAAAACGGCAAAAACCGTAGGTACCCGTTCGTTTCGAACGATTTTTCGCGTTTCCCCGTAACAACTGCTGCAATGTTCGGTTACTAAATTAATATAATACACGTAAAATCTGTTGGGATTTTCGGTCGGGCGGCGGCGGTGGCTACGGCGGCGCCCCGTGGCAGCGTTTCCATTCACACGACGGTCGGCGGCGTGCGTACTCGTAAACTTCACCGCCGCCCTCCACGCCAGCGTTGTTCGCGTGGCCCATTCAAAATTGTCTCCCCCTCCGTGCGTAGCTATGCACGCGTCGTGGCGCGCAACAAGCGCAAAAGTCGGTCAAGAGTATTCTGCGGCGCCGGCCGGAGAGATCCGCGGGGAGAGAAAAAAACGAAAAATATCGTTTTAATTTTATTCAATATTATTATTATGTAAACAATACGCGCGGAAATATTGTAACTGTTTCGCGTATTGTATCGGGGAGAAAAAAAAAATAATGGGAAAACGTAAAATATTTATTTTTTTTTCGTATAATTACGACCCCGCGGCGGCGTCGGTGGCGACCGTGCGCTGCGCTGTGTGTGTGCGGGACGTGTCGAGAACGATTGATTATTTTTTAATAATAATAAAAAAAAAACCGCACATCGGCCCGTTTACATGGCATTCCGAAAACGCGTCAGCGAGATAATAATCATAATCATAATATATACATAACCCGCGATAACCGTTGGCCTAATTTCTCGGGGGACCGGTTGTGAAAGAAGAAAAAAAACATAACGTATAATAATAACGAACACATCATGACATATTACTATAAAATATAATGCGGCCGGAGAAATAAATAAAATATTATCATAATAACGCGTAATAAAAATACAATATCGGCCCGGGCAGTCGGTATATTTATTACGGTGTTTTTTTTCCCCGGGGTGGGGAGTCAAAGTAGACTAGTGCGGTCTATAAAATATAATAATAATCGTGTTAATCGCGTTTCGAATCGACCAAAGAGCAGCTGCGCAGGCGTCGCTGATGGATTAAGGTTTTCTATAATATTCTAATAATATATATATATGTATATTTAAAAAAATGCATAAAATATTTACATATTTTACGCGCGCCCGCACTGTTGCGCTGTGCCCACCTATACAGTACGCGTAATTCTTCATTATAATCGTCAGTGCAGGCGGATGTTCGTTTTGAGATCGGTATCGCGAGTACTGTAAACGAATTGCAGAAAGTGGAGGGTACGAATTTAGATGAAGCAGCCGTTTCATCCGTGACCGGAACCGGGCGGGTGAACGTGTGCGGCATTATCGTTAGAACGATTACTATATTAACGAAAAATGCGAAGTATCGCACGCCAGTAACGTCTAGTATGTAAGCCTAGCCTTAGGGTTACGGGTCCCGATTCTTCGGGATTTCGGTTGTGTGCGGGTTTCTCGCCATGAAACTGCTTCGTAGAAAAAAAAAAAATAAACTTTACGCCGGCATTGCCCTTCTCCCGTCAACCACGACCTCGGGTCGGCGGATACCTTACGGGATAAAACTCTTTCACGTTATGTATTTATAATATGATATTTAGCATCTATTTTGTCGTCGCCTCCGTGTTATTGTGTGTGTTTGTTCGCGCATCGCCATAATCTCGTCGCGGCCGACTATCGTATATATTTTATAAATCACATATATCATTCGTTGCCGCACATAATAATAATAATAAAAAGAAAAGAGATCGGCGTATTGCAAAGGACGACGACAAAAAAAACATATGGCCCCTTACGTGCCGCGTTTTTTTTTTTTTTCACTTTTTCTTCCGCTTACATACACACACACACACACACACACATATACGCACGCACGCAGACACGCACGCACGCATATAACGCATCGCACAGCACAGCACACACCCGCGAACGTCGTTTTGTTTATTTTATCATCAACACACAAATATTGCGAATACGTCTCTCCGACCTCCATCATTTATACAGGTGTCAAAAGAAGAAGTATAGAATGAAAAAAAAAAAAAAATAAATAAATAAAAGGAAATAATATATATAACTTGTGGTATATATACGTATACAATGTCGCGCACGCACACGTACGATAGTTATTTTTTCAGCTGAACGAGCGTGTGCCTCGCTTCACCCTCCCCTCCCCCACCCCACGTCGCCGTCTTTTCCCACATCCCTTACCCGCCCCTCAATGCGTGCAGTCGATTCATACACACACACACGACTACCGCCGCCGCACGTGTTATTGCATATAGCTGCTGGTAGTCTTCGAAGTCACTCGAAAACGCAAAAGCGCGGTGTATAAACGGCGCAATTAAAATATATACGTAATAATAATAATAATAATAATAATGTGATAGTGTATAGCTTAAATATTATAATATATTATGCACAAGAACGCGCGCATATAGTGACACAACTCGGAACGTTCGATTTTTTAACTCTATACCGGTTTTTTGAGCCTACCAATATTTTGATAATGGAACTTGTATAATAATAATCATATATATATTTACATATAGTAGTCGACACACACGTTACAGTATTGTGCGCGTTTTGTACGATTCGCAATAAATCACCTTGGGACAACGTCGTCATGTGTATATTATACATGTAATAAATGTGAGAAATCACGTTTTCGTCGAGTTGTGTCACTGTGTATGGGTATACTGTTGGGCACCGACATAATATTACGTGTTTCGTCTGGTACATTATAAAAAAAAATGTATATGTATATAAAAAATAATACCCACAGTGTTATTATTATTATTGTGCGATACGCAGATTAGGCATACAAAATATACGTTTATTCGTTTACAATTTCGTACCGTTTCTGTTACCTAAACTTGCAGCCGGGCACAGTGTCGTCGGTAATAATAGTGTAAATAATGTGCTTAATACAATAATAATCCGTTTAAATTAACACCCGTCGATTGAATATTAGTCGGAGCGAAACGAGTTTTCTCTTTTTTTTTTTTTTTCATTTCGTTTTACGATCATTATAATTTGTATTATATTATTGTATAATACATAAAGCAGTTATATTATTAGTATTATGATTGCACCTATAACGAAACGATACAAAAATATAAATCATTTTTAAGAGAACGATAAAAAAATCATTGATATTTAACACGAAAAAACACCACCCGCTAGCAACTGCAGAGTTACGTCACAAGAGTCGATTTTCCTCTCACATTTCGTATTATTTAGCTGCACTATGCCGAACAATACATAATCGAATACTACATAATAATAATAAATAAATAAATAAATGATTGAATTTAATCGAAAAACAAACGGTAGGGGTTGGACTTGAAAGTCGAAACGAGCAAAAACTCATCCTCGATACTAACACCAAACGTGTACACGATTTTATACTCCTAGATTAATTTGGGGGGGGGAGAGTTTATAGAGATGTTCAAAGCTAAATAAACCTCCCACAATAACGTGATTAAATATCCGTACTGCAGAAATTCGACTCGACTTTTAATCCGTCCGTAAAACAATTCTCATTGCCGGCGAGCCGTTAAGAATATCCGAAAGAAACGGGTGAAACATTCACTCGTATTTAAACACAACATAATATATTCTATTTACGGGGAAAATTCGACAGTAAGAAATATCGTAATCTTTTTTCGTTCGACGATGCGTTTAGTGAAACGGGAAAGCCGTCGAAAATATCCTCTCTAAACGTCGCAGCAATCCGCGTTTGAACCGTCTCATTTAAAACGCCATGTAGTTCACGTGTTTCGAGTCGCCCTTTATCGTTAGACCGAGATACTGCGGTCTATATAATACATTATGACGTGACTATATATTATTAGCCGGGCCTCTAGTAACGACCCGAAAACCAAACGGGACTTTGTAACGAAAAAAATCCGCTGTCAATCTGTATATGTAGCGTCAGCTAATCATACGACATCATACCGACGTCCCCGGCGGCAGGTTGTTTCGCCGCATACGGACACACAGCATAATAATAATTTTTTTACTGTTTTTTTTTTTTGTCAATAATAATATCTGTATAACGAAAATTTCCGCGCGGGGTGGATGATATAGGTACATAGGTATTATATTATACAGGCTTTTAAAATGTCGCGTCGTAAACGCGTCTCCGGCGGCGGCGGCGGCGGCGGCGGGGAGAAGAGACAGATGTTATCCCGCGCGTCCTATTATAAATCTATTATACGAGTACACATATTGTAATAATGCGACGATATTCTAGTATATAATATAACACAGTATATATATTGTCGTTATATTCTATAGACAATGGGGTCCTCTCTCCGAATTCCCCGCGGTTTGAACGTGACGCGTTTTAACGAAAAAAATAAAATAAAATAAAAACGAACATTTTTTTTTTTTTTTTCTTTATATTTACAACCGTCCGGCAGTCCGCGATTGCCATCTCTCTTGCCGCACACAATCCCAATATTATCGTGTTTATAACGTATACCTATATATTATTGTTGTTATTACAGTCTGGTGCGGCGACGATGATCCGCCCGGACGGTGCCCACGCGATCGTATTATAATATTATACGCGTGTCCCCGCGGTGGTGCCGTCCACAATTTTCGCCCGTCGAAACGCTACGGCAATCTCCGCGGCGGCGGCGGCGGCGGCGTCGTCGTCGAACATTATTACAAATATTATCGTATAAATTCCCCGCATAATATATCATCGTGTGTGTGTGTTGTACGTTTTCGCGCTCCGGTTTTCTTTTGAAAACTTCGCCGGTGTGTAATAAATTCGGGTTTTTTTTGTTTTTTTTTTTTTCTACAAAAAAATTTCTAACAAATAACTCCCGTGTATAGTGCCTATACTATAAAATAAAATATAATATATGTTAATGTTGCAATGACGACGACGACGACGACGACGGACGCCATAAATCATAAAATAATATACGCCCGGCTAGTTATTCCGAACAGACCGATAAAACACAATAATATATAATACCGAGGTAAAAACGTTTCGGAGATTTTCGTCGGACAATCCTATTATTATTATTATTATTATTATTATATTGTGGCTCGGTCGCGCACATTGTATATTATTTATACAGACTCATCGAACGCGCAGCGGTTCGCGGTTATAGTTTCGTCCAAAGACGGTGGATATATAACGTGCCTACATATTGTATAATACGGCGGAGAATTGATTGGATTTTTAACGATACATCACGGACGGGTTACTCGAGGAATAATGATGATAATAAAACGCTATCGCCGTATAATTATCAGCATTATAATACTATATCGTATAGTGATAATAATAATAATAATAATAATAATAATAATAGTGACGAGGATGGCGAGTCGAACGACGCGAGGGGTGATGTCCGCCGTTCGCTTTCCATATCAGACAATACCGCGGGATTTTCATTAAAATTTTTACGACCCGTTCTTTCGTATGTACGTATACCTGTACTATTATTCCCATGGACCACATCCATAATATTATATAGTTTTTTTTTTCGTTTTCTCCCCGATCGTTTCCGAATATGACGGCGACGACGACGACGACGACGGAGATGATGATAGGTTCACGGCGTTTTATTTTCAAGCCCCGAACATCGTATATTAATGACGATAATAATAATATCGTGTGTATTACGCGTGTAATACGTACGAGATTGGCTATAATTATATTATACTCGTATTATTATTAGGAGGAGGAGGTGTACAATAATTTTCTCCGTTGCTCAGTTTTTGCCGCCCGGTGCCCATCAGCTTTGGCGGCGGCGCGGACTGTGTAGACACTGTGCTGCACGGGTATTACAGGTACTTACGAAAAATAAGTAAAAAAATTTCAACCGTATATTTACCGGTTCGATTTTTATTGCTTTAAATAATAGGCCGTGGCGCCCTTTGTACATAATATAATATCCGCTGCCGCCACTGCCACCGCCGCGCGTAATTGCAATTTTTCGTTTACGCGTTATATATTACCGGTACAAGAGGCTCTCTCCGGGAGAAACTACGAAATTGGTTCCCGGGCCATAAAAAAAAAAAAAAAAATAATAATAATAATAATAATAATAAGACGTACGATTCGGTTCCCGATAAAAAAAATTACACGGCGCCGTTAAACCTTTCGGATCGGTTCTCCCGGTATAGGTTTAAGTAATAAAACGTTTTAATCGTGTTTTATTTATCGCGGGAAAATTCGGATCGTCCTCGACCGTCAAAATCCCAGACTGGGGTCCCCAGTATAAACTTGTTAATCAATCGAAATCCGTCAAATCCAAACCCTATGCAGGTTTGTGTATATATCTTTTAGGTCTAAATATTATATTCTTTCGGACGACTGCGACCGCCTCGAGTTCGGATTTCTTGTAGATTTTCTATAGACAGTCCCAAGTCTGTGTAAAATGGGAAGCAAATCGCTATTGGTTTATTATTCTTTATAAAATTATGCTTACTTCAGTTTATCGGAACCAATTCGTAGATGTATAGATATTACATATAGACTACCCGGGTACCAATTCAGTAATTGGGAACCAACTCGTAGGCGTCCCTTTACCGTTTCCCCTGCAGTCCCATTACCGCGACACACGCACTCGCTTCCATCTGATCTGTTTTTATCTAATCGAGCTAATGTTTTTCAGTCTCGCATTCCGATTTTTATACCATAGATTGTATCGTCTATCTACCGCCTTTGTTTTCACCTACCCGGTGGTGCAGGTCTTTCGCCGTTAGATTTCATATTCCACATCGGACCGTGATACGTATTGATAACGATGAATACGTTGACGATAACGACTACGAAAATATTAGGAAGTTTATGACTATATATTATTTTATCGTATACTTGTCTGTTATACGTATAACGGGGACCTAAATGTGAATTGTGTAAATAGTTCACGATTTCGCACATTTATTGTTATTTTGTTCGTTTCGTATAGAGCGTGTTTTCCGAAAGCAAACTTTCGTTCCGGCAATTGGTTTACCGTTTAAGTGACGGACGTTGCAAGTTCATTTGTCGTCTCCGTCTTACAAACGCACGACCTGGCAAACTTCCGTTCAGCAGTGCCGATTTCGTGCTGTTAGTTTTAAAATATCGGAGCGGTCTGTTATCTGTAAACTTAAAGGGCAGTACCGTGTTTGTACGTAATTGGTTTTTTGTTTTGTTTTCGTTATTTTTCAAACGAGATACGAGTGGCGCGAAACATCGCGTTTTAAAAATGCATATATATATATATATACATTTCGCATGTAACGTCGAATAAAAAAACCTACACGTAGATAATGTTTTTATATTGTACATTGAAGTTTGATCGTATTGATTCACCGTGAATACCCGTAACAATATCGCGCGGAACTGACCACGGAACAAAGTCGGCCCGGCCGGACGTAAATTCGCGTCCGTCCTCGTGACATATACGGTGAAGCGAAAATGAAACTAAACTGTTTTTAACGAAAAACTCTGCGCAACGTAAAAATCACTAAATATGCAAGGGACGGTTTGTTTATTTATAACCCGAGCGTCAGTTCGTTGACCTTCTCTATTGCGAAAACTCTCTATAACCGAATAAATCTCTCGGTCCCTTAAGATTCGTTGTCGAGCGTTTTCACTGTATTACATATTTTACGTACACGTGTTGTTATAAAAACGTTCGTTTCCATTCGCGGCGAGGTGGCGCGCGGATTTTTCGACTGTCATTACGCAATGTTTTACCGCAACGGATCGCCCGGCATAATCATACGCATGCATATAAATACACTGTAACGTGCCCGTATAATGTCGTCGCGGAGGGGAGCGCCCACGTCGCGTACACAATATGACACACAAAATATCTGGTTTCGATGCGATTTTACGACACGATTATAATATTATCGTTATTATTATTTACGCCGAAATGGTTATGCCGTATCAATTTGAATTTGCCGCCGCGAGTGTTGCACAACGTGTGTATCATTTGCATTCATATTTTGTGCGCGGTAAAAACGCAATATAAATCACGGCGTCGCATTGTGTACAACAGGTACGTCCCGTATACCGTGATATCCGCCGTAAAGAGTTGTTTGACGCCGCAGACGTATTATCCGTTCCGTGCGTATGATATTTCAGTCATAACGGCCGTCGCAGTCGCGCGGCGGCCAGTGCCCGTCTGTACCTATATTATAACGACATTTTATGCGCGTATCGGCTCAATCGCCGTGCGAACAATAAATAAATTACAACCCGACCCACTCGATTTAAAGACATATTTTTTATTTTTTTTTCTCGGTGTTTTTTTAAATTCCGTTTCGTACGCCCGTTATACACACTACCGGCCGTATAATACGCGCAGCGCGTCGCGTACACGTCCGTCGTGTGGTTTCCGTCTACTCGGAAAACGCTTTTGAACGCGCGGATTTCAGACAAAAAAAAAAAAAAAAATGTTCAAATGTACCGACAGTTTTCCATTAGGATTTGAAAAACCCGAGCCCGAACGGTTTTATTTTCGTCTGTTACTATTTCGCGGTCGCCTCGGCCATGGGGTCGACTGGACGAAGAAAACACGACTTATACACAGCTAACGCGTTATAATACTTCGCTCGGAATACGTTTTGTTTCCCCCCCCCACTCCCATCACCAAATTTCTATACTCACGGTTTATCGTCGTGAATGTTATTTACAATACCCTATAAACATTATCGTACCGTACACATTGTATACGAGCGTACGTACCTTTCAAACTTGCCGTTTCTGCAAATACAGTGATTACCCGCTGGCTCGAAAAAAAAAACAATACCAATAAAATATATTACGGACAAGTCGTCGTCGCGGTACACACACGCGGTTAATTTATGTACGCGCACCGCGACTCCGCCGGCGGATTGTCGTTTAGAGGTCGTATAGGTTTTTTTTTGTGTACACGCGCGCAGACGTATAGCAGGTTTGTTTTCGTCCGTCCGTTCGGGTTTTTTTTTCCCTCCCCCTCCCCTCCCCGACAATTTCATTCCATTTAAATATACATCCAATATTATCGCTTCGCGTCCGAATACTGCCATTACGGCGTGGAACACGATATCCGCCGCCGCCTCCTCCTCGAATCCCATAAAGAGGATTTTGACGTACAGAACAATGGCGGCCGATAAGACACTCTCGCGCATGCGAGCGTGTTTACGTCGTCGTCGCCGTCGTCGCTCGCGCCGCCGCTGCCGTATAGTTTCCCCGGCCGCAGAAATTTCAAGAATCTGTCAAAAAATCTCCCGACCCGTGTGCGTATTATTATAATAGAGCCGGAGACGAGAACTGGTTTTGTTTTCGTCGTACGCCCCGGCGAATGCCTCTCTCCACGAATATGTTAATTTGCCCGACGAAAAATAAAGGGAAAAAAACCGAACCGCACCGAAAACACGTAGTCCTCCTCTCCGTTTCGCCGTCTCTCCGCGACGACGTGTCTTCTCGGCCTATTGTCGCCCATATAATACGTGTACCTTATATAATAAAACCGTATGTTACGATACGTTGGCGCGCCGGACGTTTCCGAAATTAATGGACTCGAAAAACGCGCGTTTTTATTACGGGACGACGTCGTCGGTTTTTCTCGAAACTCTCGACCGACCGGGCGACACATTATACGATTGGGATTTTCGGGGGAGCGGTGGGGAGGGGGGGCGAAAAAAAAAAACTCGCCTAAAAGGACAATAAAACCCCGTATACCCAGAGTGTAGTGCGCGGTTATACTATTATTACCTATTATTGTAATGTACGACCGGGTGATTTATTAGACCGTCGTCGTCGCCGCCGTCATCGCGCGCGGGTACCGTTACAATTTTTCCCGCTCTATTATCGTTTATCGCGCTCGCCGACCGATCGTATCGCGCGCGTCGTCGTCGTTGCGATTGTGTTATCTGTCCGGCCGCGTTACCGAGACGATTGTTTTTAACGGTTTTTTTTAATATTCCCTCCGGTTGTATAGCCGCGAGGCGCCAACGCCGCCGGTCCCTCTAATTTTCTAATGCCCGCGGCGAAACGTTCTCGGTCGACGGAATCGAGGGCCGAGTGCGCGATCCGAGTCGCCCAATACTATCGGACACCCGTATTCTATTGAAATCCAACGCATTTACTACGGCGGTCGGGACGGGCGGGCGCATTGGCGGGCGCGCGGAAAATTAAACCGACGATTCAAGACACTTGGCGCCGCCACCGAATCAATACCACGCAGTATTCACGTACTTTTCTATAACCCGCCGCTCAATTAGAAAACAATACAGAAAAAAAAAAAAAAACAAATTACGCGCTCCGTACGCTTGGAAATCCGTTCGCGACGGACCGCCCGGACGAAGGTACAATAATAACGAACGTAACGCGCCCGGGGTTTTCGCGCGTTTCCGCCGCGGGCCCGAGGATGTGTTCGTATACGTGCACGCGGGCGCTGCGCACACGCTACTGTACAATACGCGTACGGTATACCCCGAGGACCTCGCGCGCCGGGCCCACACACGGAAACAGACAATTCGCGCGGCTACTGCCAAGTGATAGACACGGATGAATGCCCCTCAAGAGAAATAAATAACAACGGGGGCCCCGACGCCCGCGCGATTTTCAATCTAATTCCGTTCGATCCGCACTCGTTCCCGCCGACCGTGTATTGTAATGCGCGCAGCGACCTTTTTCCCGCGACCCGCCGCGTCCCGTCCGCGCACGACGGAATCGCGCCCGGAGCTGCTCGGAAAAAATAAATAAATAGTACGCGCACTTTGTGTAGTACGAGGTGCCTGCGCGGCCGGGAAAGTTTTTTTCCGGCTTCGGACCCGGTGCCGGGTTTCATCGGTTCGTTTGTTCACGTAATCGCTCCGGACGGGCCGATTCTCGACGTCGCGGGCTCGGTTTCCCGCGCCCGCGATCCACACGCGTCGCGTCCCGCGTATACGCGCGCAATACACCCGAGCGATGGATTGTGCCCGCGCGCACGTAATTTTTATGGGTTTTTTAGTCGGTTGTACACTACGCGTACGCGCGCCGGTCACAATAACACCGTGTACGGGTTGTGCCTGTTGTTGTTGTTGCGGTCAAGAAGCGAAAACCTGTTTCCACGTCGCCGTCGTCCGGAGTGACGTGCTTCTCCATCCGAGTGACGAGACGGTGCGGCCGCCCGGAAAGGCTTATAGGTGCAGGGTATACACGCGCCGCGCACGCACGCACGCACGCCCCGGACGCGTATTATATTATTTCGAACGCGCGTGTGTGCATTTTCGGATTGAAATTAAATCCGTTACGAACGTCTCATGCGGAAAACCGTACGTCGCCCGTCACTACCTGTCACGTCTGCTCCGCCGCCGCGGTATTATTCGAGAACTCGCCGGTGTATTATACCTAACCTACGAAATTCGAATTTAGGATTGAGTTACCTACGCACGGTCCGCTTGTCGCGCGGCGCGTATTTCGTGCGTTTTTAGCGTCGGCCGAACGGTTCCGATATGATATACGCGCGCGCGCCTCGTGTTTATTTTATCGTAGTGTTTTTTTTTTTTTATTTTTTCATTATTATTTTTTCGTTTCGTCGTCTATCGCGCCGGTCGTCGCCGCCGGTCGATTTTTAAAATACCTATAGGCGTCGTTACGCGTCAGCCATTCGATTATAATGTTGCCAAAAAAAAAAAAAAAAAAAAAAGGAAATCTACGCAACGTCATTGTCGATTGTTGCGCGCGCGCGCGTTTAAATAGATTATTTATTTGCCGAGTCTAATCCCGGACACCCTTGTCGACGTCGCGGGCCATTTACCTACAGCAGCGATGTTGTGCAACATACCTACGCACGCCTAATAATAATAATAATAATAACGACAATAATCGTTTGCCGAGCGCGACGCACACGTCTTATACGGGCGACACGAATATTCGGTGCGTTACACAATGACGATTGCGAAGATACGAAAACGGACGGACCGGCGGACCGGTCGGTGATTTACCGACCGGACACACACACAGCCGGGCGCAACGACAACAATAATATCGTACAATAACGGAGACACGGTAGCGGGCCGAAAAGTCCCCGAAACCTCTCGGCAAGAGAAAAACGACAAAAAAAAAAGAAAAGGACCTTCGGATTCCCGGAGAACGCCGCGGGAATTCTTACCCGGGAAACGGTCGTCACGGATTACGCGCTTGTTACATTGTTGTCACTTTACACGTACCTATGTGACGTGTTATACACGCGCGATTATTCGTCGCGACGGATGCCCGGCATTCGCGCGCGCTCGTCGCGTGAAAGAAGACGGCGGAGCTATGGGGACGGACGCGATATCGCCGGGTTTTAAATTTAGACGCTCGGCGGCGGCCGTGTTGAGCGTTCCGCCAAAAAACGACGACGACGGCGGCGGCGACGAGCCGGCCGAGACGTGACGATACGCAATGACGAGACGACGGACCGGGGAGAGTAAATACGTACGCGTACGGGATTGGCGGCGGCGGGACAGTGGAAGAGCGCATTGTAACGAATTAAGGGCACGGCGAACGCGACGTACGCGTCTGTACGTTCGGTACGCGTACCCGCCGCGCGGCGGACGCGTTGACGGACACGATCCGTTGGTCGTCGCGACGGCGACGCGACGCGGCGGTCGTTAAAACGCGAACGTTGGATTATTCGCGCGGTAATAATTCCCGGAACGGCGGCGGGTAATATTATTAACCTCGCGTGGGACGGAATGAAAAACGGGTGTAAAAAAAAAAAATAATAATAATAACAAACGCCGATGTAATAATATTATAATAACGTTGTTCGAACACGACGCCGGGCGCGCGCGTTTTATTTTTCACGACGATTTGAATACCGCCGCTAGCCGGCGGCGGCGGCGGCGACGGGTTCGCGAAGAGCAGGGGACGCGAGCGCGCGCGGGACGGTGACGGGTACGGGTACGAGGGGCAGGGGAGCGGAGGGCATGACACATTGATGCGCGGCGCTGCCGCCGTCCGTGAAGGACTGCGACGACGACGACGACGACGCTGAAGAGTTTATCTGCTGTACGGGCGACTGATGGATTTATTGGTCCGGCCGCCGGCGTCTTTTTATACACGCGCGTTCTATATAAAAGCGAAATAACACGACGAGGCTCGGTGCACACCGGACGTGTTTCGAACGCGCGACGAAAACGGCTTGTATGCTATGTACGCGTGTGCGCGTCGCTGTCAAAATGTAAACGCTTTTCTTTTTGTTTTTTTTTAAAAATTCAATCGCGACGGCAAGTCGAACGCGAAAACGTTATCCGCGCGGCGGTGTGTTAACGCGTTCACGGGTCGTTTGTCGTTTGGCGCGGGGTACCGTCGGGCGAGACGGCGATTTGCATAATGTTACCGTGTGGACGCGCCCGGCGAGAAAGACGAGAGTTTCGTCACGAAATAACAACAACGGTAATAACAAGAGCGTAGGTACGCGAAAGAAGTGTGACGAGCGACAGGAGGGGGGGGGTTAAAGAATGAAAACTCCCTCGGTCGTCGGGCGGGCGACAACGCGAAGAGGTGTCCCCCACGGCGGTGCCCGCTATCGTTCGGAGGGCGTTTGGAAATAGTCCCGCGATCGTTTTTGTTCACGGTTCATAAATCTCTATTAGGCCACGGGGGCCGGTCCCGTCTACTTACGGTCGACGCGGTTCTTATGTGCGTGCGCTCCTCGGTCCAGGAAAAAAAACGAGTTGTCGTCTAATAATAACCGCGTGCAGCGTGCGCGAACAACGGAACCAGTTGTGCGCGCGTTAAATACTTCTAAACTGCTGTTTGACGTGAGCTTGACGGGCCGCGGGGAACAGGTACGCCGCGGACGCGCGGCGCGGAGCCGTACCGGTTGACAGATCCGTCAACCGTCGTGCCCGTTTACTTTCCTTCCGCCGCCGTATACGCACGTAATAATAATAATGACGGCTACGACTGCGATGACGATGGCGACGACAACAATATAATAATAATAATAATCATAATATATGCTACGGCTAATTTTCTGCCTGGTGAAATCCCAATGCTTTTGTCCCCGCGAGCCCGCCATTATACGCCGCCGTACATTATAATATCATAATAGAGGAATCTACTACACGTAGTACGTACGCATACATTCGTGATCGGGCCTTTTTTTTTTTTTTTCCCCCTTTTAAACCTTTGGCCACCGGGCAACAACACCGTAGTACATCGTATTATTATTATTTTTTATTATTATTATTATTATTGTATTATAATAAACAAACGGCGACGGCGCGAAACGTGTCCGTCGTCGCCGTTCGTCAGAGAGAGAGAGAGAAAAGACGCGTTTCGTCACACGAGCGACCCGTTCTAGTTTATAGTGTTATAATTTTATACAATATCGTATGATATACGTGCAGTGTATACGATTCGTATTATATCGCGTGTTCTTTATTATTAGTAGTGGCGGTATACGAGCGAGCGCGGGGAGATGGCCGGAGGGTGAAGGGGAGGGGAGGAGGAGGAGGAGGAGGAGAGCGAATACCGCGGCGACGGCACTAATCCCGCGCGTTTCTTTAATAACGCGATAAATCATCGTCACTCTCCGCCGGCCCGCAGCTAGGTGCCCGGTCCCTGGATTTAAATTTAATATTTACAAGAGCGCCGGACCGCACGTTTTGGATTTTATTTTCGGAGTTTTTATTGCCCGGCGGGACGTAAACGCGTGCGACGCTCTCCGGTCGTTGTCACCGGCCGGGTAACACGCGCGCCGCTCGCGCGTCTTTTTTCTCCCGAAACCGCTAAACCGGCCGGGCCGGGCGGCGGTAAAAACGTCGCGGCGGCCGGTGGTGAAAATAAAATTTTTTTTCGCCATCTCTCGGCCCCGCGCGTCAGAGTCGCGTCGCCGGTATTTTTCGATTCGCATAAATATTCGCTGCGCCGCGAACCGCTGCGGCCGGAAACAATAATAATAAAATACAACGCAGCAGCAGCAGCAACAACATCGCACACCGCCGGCGTCCATCGCGTCAGTACATCAGCGTTATAATCAATCATCGTGCCCGGGACGGGGAAAAAAAACTTTGCACATCACGTTTTTAAAGTCGTTCCGTTGGATTTCACGGTCCGGCGACTCGACGTTCCGCGTACAGTACAACAATAATAATAATAATAATATACAGCACGACTATAATAATATTATTATAACATACCGCCGCGGCCCGTGCGATTGTTCCGCGTATCCGGTTTTCGGTCCGAAAATATTTCGATAACGTCGTGAAATTAACACTTACAATTGCCGTACCGGACATCCCCTGTCTGTCTGTCCGTCTTACCGTACGAATTCGCGTGACGGTTTCGGAGGGAAAAAAAAAACGAATCCGGAGGGGCGGTCCGCCGCTGGATATCGCGCGGTCCGCACCGGCGAAGGTTAAACGGTTTCGTCGTTGTGGGGGAGGAGGCCTATTTCGGGTAGGGGCTCGGGGGATAGTCGAGCGCTTTTACAATCGAAACCCGCGTTTCGATAGGGGTAGGCGTACGATTCGTTTAATGGCGGATTGACAATTAAAACGGAAAACCGCCGGACACTAAAATTGTTGCAGTTGTTTTCTTCGTCCCCCCCCTCCCCCCCGGTACACTTCGCGATATTCCGCGGTTCACGCGCCGACGACGAGACGCCGGCAACAATATCGGCGACGCGTCAGTGTCGCGGTCCTCGGAAGGGGGTGAAACCCGGAGGCTCGGCGCGCGGTCAAGAACGTGCCTGTCGAAAACCCGCCTGCTTCAAGAAACAAGACGGGGTTTTTTCGCTCGTACCCCGCTCGCCCTCTGCCCCCCCCCCCATCCCGTCCGTTAGGTTAGTATTTTGCCAAAAGCCAGGACGCCTCGTCCCGCGGACCCTTCAATTCCGTTTCGCGCACGCGAATAATAATATCGTAAAATCGCCGTTGTATTGTAATTCGGCACAAACGCGAATACCGGGAACGTGCGCGCGACGGTGCCCGGGACGCGTGCCCGCCGGCTGTGGCTGTGCCGCGCGCCGCGCAAAACGTGTTCGCAAATAAATTGCCCTCCGGCCGAGTTGCAAGCGGCAGCAGCGCGACTACACACACCCGCGCGCGCGCGGCCTGTGTGCTTTACATGTTATTACACGGGCACCTATACGCGTCTGCTCGTCGTCGACGCACGTCTACGTCGCGCGCGCGTTCTCTCGATAGGCCTCCGAGCGTGTTCTTTGATCAAGAGACCCACGGGTCCCGGGCGCGGGGGTTGAGCGAACGGAGGTCGGAGGTCGAGGGCGAAAACATCGTTACCGGATATCTCGTTACCCGGGCCCGCGCGTAATTGATTCGCGGAGTCTTTGTGGGGAATCACGGGCGCCGGTCGGAGGCGATGGGAGGGAGGGGGGGGGCCGGGCCCCCGAGGCTCTGGAATTTCGCCGCCTCCCCGGCCCCGCGTTCTCTTTTACGTCGCTATTACCATTATTATTATTTTCGGTAAACGAAACAAAAGTTTAATTCCCGCCGACGTTACAATAACGCGCGTTCCGCGAAACGACGACGTTACGCGTACGTGTGTATACCGTTGTTGGTGTTGTTGTTATTATTATTATTATTATTATCATCATCGTCATTAGATCGACGGCGGTACGGGTACGTACACGGGTAACATACGTATTATAATCCGTTTAACCGTGTAATATTATTATTATCGTTGTTATTGTAACGTGTACCGTGTTTAAATTTTCGTGTACGCGCCGCCGCCGTCGTCGTCGCCGCGATACGCGTCTATGGAAATCGATCGGACGTTATTTTCCCGCGCGGGCTCGTTATCGCGTAAACGCCGACGAGAAAACGACGCGGAACGCCGGCTCGTCCCGTACCGCCCGCGCCGCTTGTATCCGCGGGGCCACGCGTAATAACGACGGTAATCGTTAAGATTCGAATTAATGCGCCCAAGACCGGTGTAGTGCCGTGTGTGCGTTACACGTACTCGTGCGCGCGCAGGACACGGGAATAATAAATAGCGATCGCGTGTTCGGCCCGGGCAAAAAGGACGGCGGTGATCATCATCGTCGTGCGCTCACGTGTGTGTGTGTGTGTGTGTAACCCTAAAAGTTATATTAATGGCGTATACAACGCGGGCGCGCGCGCGGAGTATTTACCGAGTGGTCTACCGGAATCGATTACCGCCGGTAACGGTTAGACGGGGGCGGGAGTGGGCGGGAGACATTGATGAGCCTGAGTCACCGGGTGATTGAAATACGGTCGCGGTAGGTATGCATGTAACCGCGCTGGACGGGCCGCGGCGGCGGCGGGGAGTGATTGATGGGTGCCATTATCGGCTGACGCGTTCCAGACATCATCGTGTCGGACGACTAATCCCGCCGAAGGCCCCCGGGTCCCTTTGTTGTTGTGTGCTGGCGGACACACGCTCGGGTTATATATACACGCATATACGCGAGCGCGCGCGTGTGTGTGTGTGTGTGTGTGTGTGTGTGAGTGTGTGTGTGAGTGTGTGTGTACGCGCGGCGACCGCGATTATTTATCGTCGCTCTAGTTGCGTAAACATACGTATATATATATATATATATATATACATATACATGTATATATATACATATATACGTCTATACGGTTACAATAATTAATGTCCGTAAACGAACGCGCGGAACAACGCTCGCGACGACAAAACGGCGCGAAACCCGAGTGGAAATCACGTCGTCGTCGTGCGCCACGATCGTCGGCCGCCCCGGCGAAATGCTTTTTTTTCGGACTGGGCCGCGTCGCAATATCGAAAATTATTGTTTTCGCCGTACCGACAAATAGGCTCACGTTTCGCGCACAACGCGCGGCGCCGCGGAATCCGCGAGCGACCGCGGCGACGGTTTTCGCACGGCGGTCGGCGCGAACTTCCATCCGTTCCCGCGCGGTGTCCGTGACCGTCGTCCGACGACAATGCTCGCGCGGAACGTGCGGCAGCGCCGTCGTTTCGACTTCGGGACAAGAGCGCACCATTTACGGAGGTCGCGGAGAACGGTGTTCCGGTGATTTTTTCGTATTATGAACTATCGTAAAAGTTACGGTTATTTGAAAGAAAAAAAAAAACAACGTTTGTCGCGACCGTCGACTCCGAAATCGAAATCAAGATGGTTGTAACCAATTACGCGTTGTTCTTGCACGTCGCCCGGTAGTCGGACCGAGACGGTAGACGCGGCGGGTGTATTAACGTCCACTTAAACGGCGCCGCTCATGTCGCGGAACTCGTCACGGCGCCGTTTCGACGTGGCGGCAGCGTAATTTCGATCGGTGGGGGGTGGGGGTGGGTAAAAAATATAATTTCGCCCGTCCTCCCGCCCCTCCGGATAGTTCAACAGTACAAAACCTTTGAATCTTCTCGCGTCGAGACATCAACGCGTATTGTTCTTTCTTTCTTTCGTAAGTACGTTTGTTTGATAAAGTTATTTCAAAGTATTACGTGTAGACGGCGGCGGCGGCGTTCGAAATATCACAATAATATTTTGACGAAATCAAGTTTATTCTACAACGCGTATAGATTCGCATACTCACGTACGTTAGCCGCGAGAAGTCTTTTCGGTCGTTTTTTTTTTTTTTTTACCCCGTGCAATTTATCGCGTCTCAAAAACCGGATGTCTATTTCGTAATACGCGCGGCATGTAAAATATATATTACACGTGTGTATGCAGTGACGGTTTCTCGACGTGTGCGCCGTGTTCCGTAATAATTTATACAAGTGACACACTTAAATTTATATTTTAAATTTGCACGGGTTGTAAATAATATTTATAATAATAATAATAATAATAAAAAGAACGTCTTGTCTGTCATCCGCGTATCCCCCCCTCCCCGCGCACAACCGGTTACACCTCCGGGATCTGGTTTTTTTAATTTTTTTTTTATTATATTTTCTATTCCCCGTTTTTGAAATACGATAGTGATTGATCCGTCGGCGTTGTTGCACGCGGCGTATCTACGCCGCGACCGTTCTATTCCGCTCGTTGTCTGTCGTTTTATTTTTTTTTTTCAATTCAAGACGGAAACCGTCAACTTTTTTTTTCACGATAATAATAATAATAATAATAACGATAATATGCACGAACCGGTTGCGGGATTACGCGGCACCGTAATAATAACGCGCGGGCCGAGACCCGTATAGATTTTCTGCGGTTCGACACGCGTCCGGCTTTATACCTGCGTGACGGCCGCGCGGCCCAGAGAGATAATATTTATCCTACGCGACACTCGGAGAAGCTTTTCGGCGCGGCAGTGATAACGTCGGGCGTAGAAAAAAAAAAAAAAAAACGTGGAAAAAACGAGACAGAAAAAAAAAACCGAGGGATCCGTTGACGTTCCGCGCGGCAAACACGTAAATCATTGGCCTCGGCACGTCCCCGCGCGCGTAGTGTACGCGGGTCCAGTTCGTGTGCCCCGCGCCAACGCTTTGTTTTCGCTCCACGCGCGCGTATTTCTATATACACACCGGCGGTCCCGGCGACCCCTTCCGCCCGCCAACAACCGTCGCGACCGAGGGATTCCGTGACGGCGGCGGCGGCGGCGGCGAGCCTACGGGGATTTGCGCGAAGGACCAAAGTTTTATATACGGTCCGGGCGAGGAGCGTCCGTCCGTCCGTCCGTCCGTCTTGTTTCGCCCTCCGCCGCGCCGCGCTGCACTGTATACCGTCCTCCCGCCCGCCCGGCCCGCGTCGCGTTTCGCGCGCGTGACGGGCCCAATACATCACCGGTTGACACACGTCAACAATATATCACTCGGCCGACCGTACAAACGGGCGCGTCGTTTTCCGTACCGCTCTCTCCCGCGCGATCGCCGTCCGTGTGCGCGTGCACGCGTATATATATATACAAACCTACATCCGCACTTATCCCCGCCGCCGCAGCGAATTCCCACATTTGCATGTAACCTCGGCGATACCCGAAGAACTTGGCCGCCCCGACGGACGTCCGGCCCGGCGGCGGCGGTCGACCGGCCGCCTCGTTGCCAGATTTATGACTTCCGCGCACTTTCGCGCGGTAAAAATTAACTGCCCCGCGCGTTTTCGGGATCCCGTGGAAATCGATTTTCGCGCGTGCCGATTAATCCACCGCCGCGGTCAAAACGTTCGTTCGGCCGTTCTTTCGAATCGCCGCGTACCGGCCGCCGGATTGTTGTACGCGCATCCGGCCGTTCACCGCGTGCGGCCACCCCAGCATGGCCAGTGCGCGGTGTCCGGTCGCGGTGACATTGAGATTCGGTATTCGACACGATCCGATGGCGGACTTAGCAGCGTGCAGCGCGTGTGCGGGGAACGTCGGAGACATTCGCAGCGGACGACCGATCCGGCGCGGAGGTTTTCGCCGCGCTCGCGGGCGACGGGGGGGCCATAGGGTAGGGCCGCGGCGAGCGGATTTGATTTGTGAATACCCGCCGCCGCCGGTGAACTTTTGATAGATAACGCCCGGCCGCGGGGTCGTGCGCGTGTATCGCGTGAAACAACGGCGCGTTACGTTCGCCGCGACGAGCCGCGGGTGTTGGTGGGTGAGGGGGGTGGGGTGGGGGGTGCGGTCTAGCGGCGGGTAGACGGGTGCCGCGCGGCGATGAGGAGTCTTTGATAACTTGTTTTGTTGCCAACATGCCAAATTTGCTGTATACATATATATATATATATATACTCCCCGCGGACGGGAGCGGCGTATAAACAAACGCATCCAAAATAAATATTAACGCCATAAATCTAAACGCGGGCCGCCGCCGCCGCCGCGCAGTGAGAGAAATATGACGCGGCGGCGGCGTTCCGACACGGGGATGAAAAACTCTTACCGCGTCCCCCCCCCCTCCGACCCATTCGTTCCCACCCGCCCGTCCGCGGATATATTATTATTATTATTTTTCCGGGTTCGGGGTATACTCGCGCACGCACCGGCACATGCTCGCACGTGAGCCGACACACACACACACACACACACACGTGCGCGCGCGCACACACACACACACACGCACGCGCGCACGCACCGTACACAATCGACAGCTCGGCGGCGGGGAGAGCGCGAGACGATTGACTGATGCCGTCTCCCCTTTGACCCCCGTGCGCCGTCCGCCGCCGTCGGCGAAACACGCCGCGACGCGTACGACCCCCGACCCGGTTCCCGTCCGCCCGGGGATCCACCACCGCCCCGGCACCCGGTCCGGCAGCCCTTTGACTTATGGCTGTGAAACTACGTGCATTCCCCGGAAAACACCGCCGCCGTTACTACGTACGCTATACCGTATCGCGATATTGGCTCAGTTTTCATTTCCACATGTTTCATAAAGTTTGCACTTTATCGACCGCGCCGTACACGCGGTGTACGCGTCGGGGGTACGTCGCGATACGAACCGAGAAACCGCCGACTGCCGATGCTGCCGATGCGTTTTATTATCGTTTTCCGAACGGCGCGGGTTGTCGTCGAAAACTCGTTTCGAATCGAAACGCGCGCGAATAACGACAGCCGCCGTGTGTTTTACGGCCGCGATTCCGCTCGGTCGACAATAATTTCGCACGGCGCGCGCGCGTTTCGCACCGCGATCCCGGGCCGACGGTCTTCCCCGCCGTAATAACCGTAAGCCGCTGGCCGAACAAACGCCGTGCACGTTTGCGTTTTCTGCGTACGGCGAACAGCGCGTATAATATCGCCCGTCGAGCGTTTCCGGGTAGGGGTTGTTTTTTTTTTTTTGCTTATTTTCGCGTTGTTAGTTCCCCGACGAGTGCGTCTCGTACGCGTCGCGTTTTCACCGCGCCGTTCGACCCCGTGTCTCGAGAAATAAAAACGCGCCGAATAAAATCGCCGTCTCGGTTCTCGTACCGTTACCGCGTCGCGTACACGACGGCGGCGTATATTCGTTAGAGAGAAAAGTTTTTCGTGTTTTTTTGTCCGGGAAATTCGCCATACACGACGGCGGCGGCGGCGGCGACCGCGACGACGAAACGCAATGTACGCCGGGCGCGAGCGCGCGCGCACGGGGGATTCGAGATCAATCAATTGGTCGCGCGCGCTCGCCCGGCTACTCCATCAATGTGTCAATTAAATTTAATTTGTACCGACGCGCGACGACGACGACGACGGTCGTCCATCGATCAGAAACAATGCTCGTCGCGGCGGCGGACGTCGCGTCACAATATTTTCGATCCCAATAAAACCTCCGGATGACTAAACCCGCGGTCGGAGCGTGTACACGTATACAACAACGACAATAATAATAATAACGTACGATTTCCCGGGCGTTACGAACCGCCGCCGCCGCCGCCGCCACCGCCACCGCGGCGGCGACGACGACGACGACGACGGCGCCCGGGACCGGCGGCGGGCGGCTCATTAACGATTTCACAAGACGAGTGGGACGGTAAAAGACTGAAATACCGCAAACCGGTTGGCCCCGCGCCGTCCGTCGATCGCGCCGCCGCCGTCCGTCAATCCCGAAACTCGTTTTTTTTTTCTCTCTCCGTTTTTGTCGTGTCCGGCGCGGTTTTTATTTATTTATTTATTTATTCCGCCGTGCGTCGCCGTCGCTGTGTTACACACGTAGGACGGACGGACGGACGGGAAAATATTGTCACCTATAGGTACGCGATCGCCGCCGCCGCCGCCGCCGTTGACGCGCCCACGTGTGCGCTAAGTGGATTTTGCTTTTATTCCCGGACACGTTCTCCGCGACTACTAATGTGTATGCGATACACGGCGGCCGGTATTACGTTGTTGTTGTTGTTGTTGTTGTTGTTGTTGTCATGGGCATCACGAAAAGACGTGCGTCGACGGTATTTCTACCGGTTTATTGCTCCGGGTTTTTTCCGTTTTACCTCCCCTCCCCTCCCACCGTCTACGGGGGGTCTACCCGTTTAACGCGGCGACAATAGTTGCACGATAATTACAACGCATACGGTTATAATTGTATCATCGGAATTATCGTACACGCCTTTGCTCGCGGTGTTTTTACCCGTCGACCCACATCGCCGCTCCCCCCCGCCACCCGCATAATATTATACACTGTCGCGTTTGACTTTTCACACCGTTAGGGCCCCGTGACGAGAGACTTTTATCAAAACGGCTGCCCGCCGGACGGGCTTGCCAAAAGGTACAGCGTACCCGATATAGTATTCAGTTTGCCGGATTTACAATGCAAACAAACATTCCCGAATTACGCGATACGAGCCGATAAACGCTAAATACTAATAGATTTTTCGCCGGATTGAAATACGTTCCGTAATGAACTGTCGGTTTTACTGTAATATTGTCACACGTGTTTTTCGTCCGTCCGTGTTCTATGCTAGAAATACCGGTCCGATTTCAACGTGCAACGTCTTATTTTTTTTGAATTTTTTTTTTTTCAAATAAAATTCTATCTCGTTGATAGGTCGTTTTCGGTTTCCCCGGTATTTTAACCGGCGTGCACACCGGTTCCATTAGTTTCGATTTTGTTTCGCGATCCGGTTGAAATAACCGTAGAGATCGGAATTTATCACCGAACACATGTTTGGCAAATAAGCTTTTTGTATACGCGTGATAAAACGCATACAGAACGGTCCGCAGAGATATTTACAGGCATTTGAGATTGTCGAGTTTTTTTTTTTTTTTTTTTATTTTATTTTTTTTATCAAGCACCTTAAAATAAATAATTGTGCAAACGGTGATTATTATTATTATTTTTTTGCGCTCGAATCGCGAAACGAGAATATAAATGTAGTGACCGAAAACGGTATTATCGCCGACGATTTTATTGTTCCGAAAAAATAATAACTCGGTGGGAAAACTTTCGATGCGATAAGTTCGAATCTCCCGCCACCGTCGCGCACCGGTCTCCCGCGCATATACCGAAATGATCAATCGAGGTGCGGTGACGATAAAACTTCCGTCGAGTTACTATTAAGGAAATATATATATATAAATAATAATCCAACTCCCCGCAGTTTAATCCACGGTATCCGGTAATATAAAATATAATAGTAATAATAATAATAATAATACGTATATACTCGAGACGACGAGACGGATCAGTTGTTTTTTTTTCCTCTCGGTCGGTATGAGCAGTAGGCGCTCGCGACAACAAATAACACATTAATAACCTGATTATTCCACGTGTGCGCGGGGAATATTTTATTATGATAATATTTATTATAATATAATCTCGATTGATGTACGAAAATATAATGCGCCGACGACGACCGGTGCACCCGTTCGGGAGAAGAATGTCTGAAAAACGCAATAAATTATCAGTGGCCGCGTATTATACCTACACGTTTGTGCATCGAATAATTATTATTGTTTGAACACCCCGGAACGCGCGGTCGGTTCGATAAATTACGGAATCGAGAGTGAGGAAAAATTTAAAAAAAAAAAATGTATGTATAATATAATACGCGTGATTGTGTTCGTCCGGAGGCGGTAGCGGATAACCGACCTGAATGTTATTTCCGATCGCGCGGCTGACGGGCAAAGGGAGGGGGGGATGTAGGGAGGGAAGGAGTCGGAGAAATCGCCCGTCGTTCTATACATCCGCGGTTTTCGCGATATACGGCACCCGTATAACAATAATATAGTGCGCATTGTACGCGAGCGATAAAAAAAAAAAAAAAAAAAAAAAAAAAAAACAATAAAAAATCTATATATACTACGCGGGGCCGGAAAACTTTGCACGTTTCGCGAGATATTACTATTGGGATTCGGAATTCAAACGGTTTTGACTCGGGAGTTTCGCGGAGATACCGCGGCCGTCTATATTTTTCCGGGGGCGGGGGTGGGGGCGGAGACGGGGACGTGACGCGCGTATTTTTCGGATAAAACGGCGGCGACCGATACGGGAATTTTTTTTTCGCCCTTTTTTTTTTTTTTGTCGACGCGAAAACGAACATAAACTCGCGAGTGTACGCGGTCCGGAAGCTACTGTACTACGCCGCTATAAAATATATACGTATATACGTATGCCTACATTGTACGGTACATCCGGAATCGTCTGGGATGAGGGTCCGCGGGACGTTTAAAACCGCCGTGTACACGGACGTTGCCGCGTTCAGTAACTCCGGATTATGCGTTCGCGGCCTTTTCGCCGAGTCGTCTCCCCCCTCTCCCCCCGTCACCGCGCAAAACGGCCGTTGCAATACGCGCGTAAGTATTTATATTCCGTACGCTCGCGTATACACCCGCGCAGTGCCCGCCGTCGTCGTCGTCGCCGTAATCGTAAAAACGCGGGTCTCCGAAACGCAATATCGATAAAACGTAATGGGACGCGGACCCGGGCGTTAATTTCGCCGCCGAAGTGGAAGGTACAGACGGCCGTGTACAGGCGAGGCCGTTAAACTAATTCAGCCCCCTTCCCGCCGCGGATATCGGGTCCGCGCGCGCGCGCCGGCGGTGCGGATCCCGCGCGGGTCTCCGTCGAAAACGGTCTTTCGGTAATTGCCCCTAGCCCCATCCCCCCTCTCCCCGTTCCCGCGCGAAAACACGCGGCGGCGGATCCGATACGGAATCCGAATGGGCCAATTACACGCGGCCCACGCCTTGACGGGGGATGTTTGTTTTTTCCACCCTACACCCCCAACCCTTTGACCGTGTCATTATCATTACCATTATTCCGCAGTTTCTTCTTGTCGCCCGTTGTTTTTAATGCAACTCGCGTCTACGTACCGGCCGGACTACGCGCGTAATGCGTATTTACGTGCAGCGGGCGCATTGGCCATGGCGGGGGAGGGGGCGAAAAAAAAAAACGAAAATAACAATAACATTACGACCCCGCAGTAGCGTACGCGGAGACTTACGAGGACGCGGTTCGCGCGGACCGTCGCATTACATCGCGGAGTGTGTAACAAGACGTCGCTCGGATCCCGCGAACGGCTCCGGCGAAATATCCCGGCCCTCGTTTGTACCGGGAACGTACGCCACGTGCGCCAATGTAAAAACGTCGTGTACACTTCGTTACGAGAGGACGACCCTGTGCCGTTATAGTTTTAATATATCGGTGCGAGACGGTCCGCTATCAAACGTACGGGGATAAAAACCGCGCGGCGTCCTCCCGAACGCGCGTCTCCGGACTCGAGCCGGTTTAAAGAAAAAAAAAAGCCGCGGGAAAAAAATCCACGCGTCGCGGGCGTACAATAGGGGCGGGCGGGAAATATTATGCGGTCGGCGTTCGCGGAGACGTTCGGCGGGACAGAGTTCGTCCGGACTGTATTATTTCGCGACCGCGGGAGTGTTTAAAAGACACCGGCGGCGTGTACGCCGTAGCCGTAGTACCTATACGCGGACGTGTACGTATATACAAAGCGGCTTGTCGCCGATATTGATTATATCGCGCCGGTGCGTTTTCCCGGCCCGGAGTTGACTGACAACTGACAAATGACGTCACTCACCGGGCTATAAACGTACAACGGAAAACGCGCGCGCCTCGCACTCAAAGTTTCCGTCTGTCATTGTGTACATATGTAGCGCGGGAACACGCCGCGGTGTGTATTATATATACGTATATACGGTATGTGCTGTACGTGGCAAAAAGAAAAAGAAATCGATGGGAAACCCGACGCTTTGTGCGGTGCGAGAAAAGATGGCAATTGCTTTTGATATGAACTCGCTGTGAAGCTTTTAAGAGAAAAAAAAAAAAAACTTTTACCCTTTTTTTTTTTTTTTTTTATTTTATTTTATTCCTGGGCGTCCTTTGACGAATATGGCTCGATATTTGACGTTATTTTTCATTCGTTTTCCGCCGAAACGACGACTACGACGATTACTGTACACACGCGTCGATTCAGCGTCGTCGCCACCACCCTTGCCCCCTTCCCCTCCAACATATCGTGTAGGGCGGGCGTACGCGGTCGCCCTGCAGACTGCACGCGCCCGCGCGCACACAGACCGGATATACGTCGCGATTCGTGCGGTATTTTTTTTGTTATTATTATTATTTTTTTTTTTTGTATCTCTCGTCTTTTGTGCGCGATAAGATTTTCGGGGCGAAACGGCGCGGTATTCGCTCGTCTCAGCCGTAGGCGACTGCGGCGGTATCGGCAGCACAACAACAACAACAACAACAACAACAACTACAACAACAACACCGAGCGTACCCCGCACACACCGCACGCCGCAGCAATACAGTAACAGATTAACATTTTCCCGCGTCCCGCTCACTCCCAGCCGTGCGCCGTTTGCGTTTTTATAGGTTTCCCCGCCCGCCCCATAACGGCCCCGCCGCCGTCGTACGTCCGTGTCGACAAAATAACTCCCGTTTCCCGGCAAATCGACCATTTCGGTGTGTGCGCGCGTGTGTGTGTGTGTGTGTATACGAGCGCGCGCACACACGCACAAGCACGCGAAACGGGAGCGGGGGAACCGTGAGGTCGTTTCGAGGGCATGGGGGGCCGGGGGTGTGGCGTGGGGTATGGAGGCAATAATCGAAAAGCTACAGGCAACGGTGCGGTGTCGGAACGGGCGGCGGCGGCGGCGGAGTAGATCCGCGCGCGGCCCATAAATCTGATCCGCGTCCCCACGTCGCGTCCTCCGCGCCCGGGCCCGGTTTGACATAAATCAGTCAAAAGTCTTGGCCGGGGCGGGTTTATGTATGTACGTACGTATATATATATATATATATACACACGCGAGCGCTGCACGAAAAGACCTTGAGTAGGCGGCGGCCGGGATTGTCCTGTGACGGCTATAACGGGTGAGATATGGTCCCCGAGGGTGGGCCGCTGCCATATAATTCACCCGGTTCTCTCTTTGTCACGCATCCCTCCGCCGTCGCCGCCACCGCCGCCGTGAGTCCCCCGTCTTCGTGATGGCCCATTGTCGGCGTCCAATCCGCCGCCGCCGCGTTTTCTTACTTTTATTTTTCTCCCCGCCGCGCACCACATTATACATATATATATATACGAGCGAACGCGCGCAAAACCCGACGCGCCGTTCTCCGTGCCGACGACTCGCTCGCCGCGTTCACAATGACGTTCGAACGCATAACGTTATCGTCCCGCGCGCCGGCCAATAACAGCCGCTGTCGGCCGCGCGGAAAGAGAGCCGCGAAAATCGTCACCTACGTAACCCCTAACCCCCCCGTACACCGTGTATTTTTTTTGTAACGTTTCCCGTAAACTTTACGCGCGCGCGACACGCGTCGCGTTCGCCGGGGCTGACGTTTGATGCGCGCGCTTTTGTTCGACCGCGTAAGTGACATCTTGATAGACAGCGGCGCGGGGCTTCCGGCCGCCGCCCTAACGAGCTTTTGTCGTTAAACGATAACGCGGGCGAGCGTGTCTGCCGCGGCGCGCTCGACGTGACACCCGAGTAACCTTTATTAATACACTGCCGCCCCGGCGGCCGGCGGCCGGCAATCGATAACCGCGCGGTGTAAATTATTATACTAATGTGTGTTGTTTTTTTCTTTTGTGTTTCAGGTAAGTTGGCGCTGTGCGTGTGACGAAATTATTATTATTTTCGGAAGACGAATCGACGGTCGAAAAACGACGGTACACATTATCATCACATTATAACATTATTATTATTTTGCGCCGCCGCGACAATTCCCAAGCCGGTCGTTCATTAGGCCGCCACTGCCGCCGGGCCGGCCGGCCCTGCGAAAGTCCCGTGTCAAAAGTCGCGTCGTCCATCGAGAGACGCGTGCGCGCATTTATTAACCGTCGCAAGCAAATCGTCGTTGCCGCCGCCGACCCGAGGACTTGGCGGGGGTGGCGCGCCCGGTCATTAGGACAATTCATCAGTAGCTTTCGCCTCTCCTCTTACCTTACTCCGTCACCCTCTCTCTCTCTCTCTCACTCTCTCTCTCTCTTTTCACTCTCCGAGGCTCGACCGCTGCAGACCTCCCCGCCCTCGTTCTAACCCCTTCGGTCTCTCTCTCTCTCTCTCTCGCTCTCTGTAATGACGAACTTTCGGTCCGCTAATTGATGGGGTCTCGTTTGTTATTCGGCGCGCTGCCCCGCCGCCGCCACGGTCCCCCGACACCCGCTGCGCTGACCGTCCGCTGCAGCTTTGTCGCCCGGGCATTTAGTCGCGTTCCGCCGCCGCCGCGCCCGCCGTCGTCCTTTACGCGTCACATTATAAAACGCAATTAATTCAAAACCGTCGTCGACGTCGTCGTCGTCGTAGCCGTCCGAGGACCGGACCGAGTTGAACGACGTTGACAAAAGGCCCGGGTGCCCCTAATTATGTTATACCCCTCGGCGCCCGCGCGCGCGGCTACGGGTACGTGTGGCGGGATACGTATATACCTATACGTGTACTGCACACTCGCTCCGGCGAGCGTACATTGAAATGTTGTTGTCACGCGACCCGTCAAACTTTCCGGAATTAACTACTTCAGACCGCGAAATCGATTATTTCGAACGCGCGGTCGTCGTCGTCGTCGTTTCGCGTTACCGCCGTCGTTATGGCGCGCATGCCGACGAAAACGACCAAGATTTCTTATTCTTCCGCCGCGCGTATACGCGATATAATATATTATCGGACTCGCGGTGATGGAAGGGGGGCCGGGGGGGGCGGTCGAGCGGCGGAGGACCCGGGAATTATATACGCGTATATAAGAAAGGGCGGTCGCGGGATTTGTTGTCGGTCGGCGGCGCGGGCGAGGGGGCAATAATAATAATAAATTTTCGACTCCACGTCCGTCGATAAGAGTCGCGCTTAATTGAAGCGGGCGGGCGCGGAGGCGCGCGGGCCAAAGAGTTATGGCGGAGTTTGTCATTCACGGCTGGCCAAACTGCACAACGGCGACGGCGGGCAACGGTCGTATATCTCGGCCGGAATGGCCTCGGGTACCATTAGAGCTTCTATATACCTTCGACGGGCGAAAACTTTTGGACCTCCTCCTCTTCGCCGCCGCCGGTATATATCGCGCACATAAAACGGCGGAACGGTCGAAGGGGCGACGAGCAGGGAACGTTCGGGGCCGGGGGAGGAGCCGCTCCGCACAATGCGAACGATATATATAGAGGGACATTATGTCAAGACGAACAGATGTATTAAATAAATATCCTGCGCCCCGCGTGTCCGCCGTGAATCAGTCCCGTCCGTCCGTCCGTCCGCGGGGTTCTCGCAGGGGTCCTTACGACGACGACGCGCGTACCCGTACACACGGCGGCCCCGTACACGGGGGCTGTGCGTCCGGCGTAAATCAATCGGTCGATAAGAGTCCGCGCTGCACAGGAGCGGGCCGGCCGCGCGGCGGGAATTTTTACGATCGGCCGGAGGTGCTCGGCGGCGGCGGCGCCGTCGTTTAGCGTTCCGCGGGGAAAATTACAACGCCCGCGCCCCCGAGTAAATTACGACCGGCCCGAAAACTCTTAACCGTTACCGGCCACGTCGCGCGCTTTTTTTTCAGATTCCGAGTGAAGCGAGGGGGCCGCCTATCGGTTTTACAGTGTACGATGTGTATTTTTTTTTTTTTTTATTTTTCTGTCCGTAAACGACTTTTCACCTAGAAATCTCGCATTTGAAATTTCACGTTTATATTCGAGCCAAAGAGGAAAAACTGGTTTTTCGGGTTAAAAAAAGATTAAATATAAGTTTGTCATTGGCAATCGTTTTTATTTTATTTTCTGTTATTGTTGTTATTAAGTTTTTATTAGCTGGTTTTATCTTTTAAATCTTTTTTAAACAATCGTCGTTGTGAAAACGAACGTTGGTTTTTTTTTTTTTAGATTTTTTCTCCATTCAAAATCGCTTTTCGTTACCATTGGTTTATCGTCGCTCGCAGGTATAAATTAACTCGAACTTTATGTATCCCACCTTACCACCTACATCAGTGGCCACATCCGTCCCCAGTATCAGCTCTGTTTTTTCGCCGACGCCCATCCCTTTCCGCGGTGGCGGCCGAGAAACAATATTTCTTCGCGAAAACCGGTTGCGTATATTCCGATGATATTTCAATGTGCGATTTACGGTGTTTGTCCCAAGACACAACAATAACATTATTAATCACCCACACGTTATTATTGTATTGTCTGTCACAAGACGAAAAACAAAAAAAACATATGACAAAATAATAGACCGACAAACGACGACTAAAGAAAATAAACCCCACGACGTCCTTCGAGAATATATCCATCGCAACCTCTCGAAAAGTTTTACTACATTTTTTGGGCATAATCGTTTTTGTACAGTTTTTTGATCATTTTTTTTTTTTTTTTTTTTTTTTTTATCAACCCTAGTTTTCGGAGGCGAAACGATTTATTCGCTTTACTCGCGGTTTTCACACAAACATTGAGTTTAAATAAATTAATAACATTTTCGCGTTGAAATTTCGTCGTCATTGCATCCATAAGGGCGACAACGAATTCCGAAAATTCGCGCGAAAAACCGAATACGAATTTAAGTACTTTGTGCGAACATAGAACTATAAAATAGGACGGTGCATAGTTAAAAGGGTTCAGGTTCAAAAATGTTTACACTTCAAACAATATTTATTTGAGCCCTTTATCACAAACTGAATTTAATTAGGTATCACGACTTATTGTGACAAAACGTATGTATGTAGGACCGTTGATAACGTTACTAAATTTGTTCAAACTAGTGGTACCAGTAGACGCGGGGCACGAAATCGCGTACAGAACGTTAATATGAAATATTCGAAAATTCGACTGGAGCTCTTTTGTCGGGTTAACATTATCATTGTTATTTGTTTTCCGTCGTCGACCGCTGCACACCGCGGTGTCGACTCGTGTTCGTTTCACAAATTATTATTACCGAAAGAACCGGGGGGGGGCGGGAGGAGGGAGAAACGAGCGCACACGTCGACTGCGACGGGAGAGCTCGTTGACATTTGAATATTCGAGCGCAATAATTCTCTGACTGACAATACCGGTTGTCGTACATAAATCACTTAACGGCTCTCTCGGTCGTCGTCGAGTCGCCGGCCAGTTTTTATATCGTGTTTTTTTTTTTCGCTTTTTTTTTTTGTGTGCGTATTAAATTTATACATATACGCGGGCATGACGAAACGCGTGCGCGCGCGTTGGCATTAAAAACCGTACGGGTTTGCGCCGTTCGCGGTGGAACGAGTATAAAAAAAAAAAAAAAAAAAAAAAAAAAAACACATAAAAACCATAAAAAAATAAAAACGCCGCGAAACGTCGATAGGCGCCTGTACGAATATTTTAATCGACCGTTGTTGTTTATAATAATGCATGTATAGTTGTACCCCGATTGTATGCAATATTCGTTTTTTAAATGCACGGGCACGTCGGAGACGATAAAAATCGCCTTATTTATAGAGCGGGCGAAGCGCGTTTTCACCGGGTGGGGGGGGGGGGGGTGGAGAGTTACGGGAGTAGGGGGACGTCGCGAATTTTGTTCCGTTAGGATAATTTAAAAAAAACAAAATCACGTCATCGTCGCGACAATTACAACGCGTTATATCGTTTTTTAACGTGACAGAATTTCCCGAAAATCACCGTGCAAATGTGATAATATTAAGCTCGTGACAAACCGACGCGGGGTCGGTCGTCTTCGAAAGGCCGCGGCTACGTCGGCCCACGCCGGTTTTCGGAACGCCTCTGATCGGCGATAAGTTTTCGAGGGGGGGGGGGATTTTTTTCAATATTGCACGTTTCTGAATAGCTGATTACAGTATAATTATTATCGATTACGATTCGCGTGCATCCCGAAGCGTACAAACGCACGTTTTCAAACGCTAAAACTGTCCCGTCGAACTCATACTTCTGTCTTGTGCGACGTCGCGCTCTACGGCGCTTGGCAGTGTACCGAAATCGCGTATTCCACCCTCCCCCCCTCCCGATACGCGGATATGCTCGTGTGGATATTGTATTTGTAACGCGCGGCAACGAACCGAACGCGGTGAATTTTCGAAAATAAAAAAATAAAAGTATAACGTAAAACAAAAAAAAAAAATACGAGAAAAAAAACCGGACATCGACGCGCTTCAAACGTCATTCCTGTTATAACGCACGTCAGTCTACCGACGGCGACGGCCGTGGCGGACACGGGGTTTATTTTATTTTATTTTTTTTATCTATAGAGTTTCTGGTTTTTTTTTTTTTTTATTTAGCCTACGTGTTTTTTTTTTTTACGACTGACAAATAGCACCTTGCTCCAGGCCCGTTCCGTCATTCGTGACACTCTTGACTGACACTGATCCGCGACGCGTGTTATTATAACGCCGCCGCCGTCGCGGACGGACAGACAGTCTCTATACACGCTTCGCCCCGACAGCTATACGTATATAAATATATGTGGGTACACGCGGAAACCGATTATGTCTTGTGTGAGCGTTTTCTTGCACGTACTACAGTGTATATATAAATATATACGCGCGTATTGTAGTTTTTATTCTGTTCGGATCGCCCCGCTGGAGACGGCGCTATATAATCGGCCGAAAACGTTATCGGGTTCGCAGCCCGAAGGAAGACGTTTGTGAACTCGCGAATACGGGAAACGCGGGAAAAACGGACGGGGGATGGGGGGGGGAAGGGGCGCGCGTTCGAGAAACGACGGACGGTAACGGACGGCGAGTCCAAGGCCCGATCTTTTTTTTTTGGTGGTGGGGGGAGAGAGGGCAAACGAGAATTTAATGATTAAAATGATATGCGGAAAGAACCGCGGTATAGGTGTAGACGAGGCGGATCGCTGAACCGATCCGAGGATTTCAAAAGAACAGCCAACAGTGCTGAAAGGCGAACATTTGGAAAGGTGGTTCGATAATCGGATGAGTCGTTGCTAACGAAATACGATTCTGAACGGGGTTCGTTGAAACACGTGTTATGAAACGTCGCGGTTTTTACGATTTTCGTCAAAATATATAAACTTTTAAAAAAAAATTACTGAGTAACACTCGACTTTTTTCACCGCCGAGTACAACTTATAATGAACTTTGTGTTTAATTTTCAAGTATTTTTTTTTTCGGTAAAACAATTTTTATCCGCATAAAACTTAATAAAAACTAGAAAAAAAAACTCGAAAATAGCTTACAACTCTTCAGAAAGTTTGGACAATTTTACCACGTCTAGAAAAGGCTAATATAAGTATTCGGTAAAAACGTCTTTTCTCCGAATAATAATTAATAACCGAATATCCGAATAACAAAAAAAAAAAACCAAAAAAAAAATCGATATTAATTATGCTACCTTTAATGCCTTATACTTTCCCGTTCACAACCAATTTTCAAGAAAAACACTCGGATTTTTCGATTTTAAAATTCGTAGCAATGTTTCTGGTAAAAAAAAAAATCTATATTAATACGACTATTTTATCACTTTATAAATTTGTCCGTTTTGTACTCCGATCGAGAATTACTCGAAAACGACTCGATCGACGCACCGAATAATACGGATCGAAACGGAAAAGCCCTCGCGTCGTTCATCGGTCGGATCGAGATTTCCGGTATAGAAGACCACGTGACCGTTTTATATTGCATATAAAACCTCGTCGCCAATAATCTGCTAGTATTTAACCCTCGCCCGGCCACTGCGTTATTATCATCCAATGATATTTTCCATTACGGTTCTAAATTCAAAAGCCAAAAATGCGTTATTTTCAACAGAGTCACTATTGTACTGCGCGCACTGTTATAATAACACGAACCGTCAGTTATATCGTCAGGCAACGGAAAGAATCAACAAAGTACAAAGGTCAACGGTTAAACGAATGCGTAATATAAATAACGTACTGGGGGGGAGGGGAAAACCTCCCCGGACCCACCTTAATCCGGGCTTGTGTATAGGTGGCGGTTATCGCGACCGTACAATTTATACACACGTGTACGGTAACGGACGAGATGGATAGGCTTCCGTTCGGCGGCGGCGGTTTTCGACCGCTGCACACGCGCGCACACACACACACACACACACACACACTGAACTTCTGTGTAATAATTTATACGTTTTTCGCGCGGTCACGTGCGTCGATAATTCATCGGATAGAAACGATAATGGACTATCTATCGGTCCCACGCGCGTGTGGTCTCCCGGGGAACTTGTCGTGAATATCAAAGAGCCCGGAGAACGGAGGCGGCGGCGGCGACGATGGTAACAACGCGATTAGCGCGGTCAGTCGACGCCGACGCCGGAAACGGTAAGCCGACGCGGTTCTTCTCATTAGCGCCGGCACGTCGTCGCCGTCGACGGGACCGGAAAATGAAAATCAGAAAAAAAAAAAAAAAAAAAAAAAAAAGTAAAAACAATACGTGCGGCGGCGGCGTTCCGTATACCGCGCGGTCACGTACCTATCGATAACACCGAGTCCTTTTAGCGGGATCGGCAAACACGCGTACGCGTTACATTGGACGCACGTTCCGCGATAGCTCTGAGCGCGTACCCGCGCCTAAAGCACAAGTGTAAACGTTCCGCGCACGTCTAGTGACCGGGCCGCACGGCCGGACCCGTACGGCAATCTCGTGGGCTGTGAACGCAAACGGCATTAAGTTACGACCGCGGTTTTAACGCGCGCGCCGGTATTTAGACGACGGAACGCGATGCGGCGCGGACCGTCCAGCTGAATCCGTTTCTCCGGGTCGCGTCGCGGTCGTTCCGAGCGAGAAAACTGTACACTGATGCACGACCGATTAACCGACTGTGTAGATACCGCGACAGATAATACGAACGTATGATGTTTTATCTATGACCAATAGCGAATAGATTCACAAAAAAAAACGCACTGGGAGCGTCAGCCATCGGTTCAAATTACCGGTCGAGAAAAATTCGCGTTATCACTATTATACTCTTCGTCTGGCCATTCGGTGTGAAACCGTAGTTATTACCTTACCGTAGTATTTCATTTGTACAACCGTACGATAATGTTTCGGTCGGAAATTTCTTTTCTGCCCACCGCGCCATCTGGTTCGGAAATCTCGCGGTTTTGCGGCGTACCCCGTGAAATTAACAAGTTATGCGACGTATATATATATATATATATATATATATATATGTATGTGTACATGTGTACGGTATACATTTAGTCTTATGGGCTTGTGGGGAATTGACCGACCGACCGACCGACCGACGACGAGGACGACGACGTCCGGATCCGTTTCCGCCGAGATTTCCCCGTAGTACAATATCACGTGCATTTCCGATTTGCCGTCCTCACCCCTCTCCTACCAGTCCCACGTATACGCGTATAGCCGACGGACACGGTTCCGCGAGTGTATGTGTATACAATATCGCGTCGTCGGGACGATCTGCGTGACCCTCCGCGGACTCCGAGGGCCGCCCCGAGAAAATGAGAAAAAAGTAACTACGTATGTTGTACGTATACATATAGAGGCACTCATATACTATAGGCGCATTGACGGCGTCGCGAAACGACCTTTGTCGCGGGCCGTGTGTGTGTGTATATATTTGTATAACAATAAAACGAAACGTCGTCGTCTTTCGCGTGCATAACACGCGATACCGGACGCGCGCGCGCGTAAATTCGAAATTGTCTCCTCTGCCCACGCACGAGTCGCTACGATAACCGATAAATACGATACGATAACGTACGGCGCGCGAATTCTGTATCGTCGAGGATGTATCGCGGCGGCGAGAGGGCGGGACAGAGAGACGGAGAACGGAGCACCCGGTGACTTATGCGAGCTCGATACGGCCTGCGTGTGTATATAAACGCGCGGCGAGAAATAATGTGGGTAGAAGGTTATCCGTGTCGCCGTGATGGACTCCGCCACCGTCTGCGGCCCGATCGTAAATCTATCAAAACGGGTGATATATATTCGCGGAGAGGTAGCGAAAGACCGGCGGCGGCGGCGGCGTTCGTTCGCGGTCCCGTGAGTTATTCCGCGTCCGGAAAATCGCGCGGAAACGTGGCGAACGGGCGCCAGCGTCGAAATTCCGCTCGACGGCGACGGCCGTGGTCGCCGTCATCGTTATCTCTACGAGCGCGGGTACGGCGCCCGCGAGAAATCTCCGGACAACGCCGCGATTAGCGCGCGGCACGAATATAAATAGAAAAAAAACGCCGTCGTTGTTCCGCCGTGGACCGCGTAACATCGTGTGCGAATGGATTATTCTATTCCCAGTGTTACCGCCGGGGAACGCGCGCAAACGTTCGGACCCGGTCGATTTCCCCCGGTTCACGTGCACCGCCTTTTTGTTTTGCGGAACGGTAAACGAATTTCAGACTTGAATTAAGACCCGTCAAACGGCCACCACTCGGACCAACGCGTTACGTTAAAATCGCATACACAATACACCAAGTGGCGAACCGAACGGTTCTTCTCGATTCCTGTCGATACACGCCTCGTACACGGTATTTCCCCACCCCCCTCCACCCAGCATAAGCGCGTTTATCCGCAGGGCTGAAGAAACCCCATCCCCGGACGACTTGTTGTACCGTAAAAATTGGTCCTCCGATTCATTTATTTTTCCGCGGACCGTGAACGCTATTTTTTTGTTCGTCGCGATGACGACGGGGCAGTACGGTTGTTTTTAAAATGGAAACTGATAAAAAGCGGCGGTAACCCGGTACTGGCCGCGGCGTCGGGCGAACAGGAAGTCGTTGGCTGGGTTTGACGTCAAAAGCGGCCTGCTGCACCCTTCCGCGCGGCACCTCTGCACCCGCAATCGTCGCCAACCCTTTGCGCGCGTATACGTTAACCGCCCCCCCCCCATTAGCGGCCCGCCAAATTGGAATATCAATCAAACGGCCGCCGCCGCCTGACCGCCCGTTTCGCGACGGGCCGTGTTCCGCGAGCCGTCCGTCAATCATTTTTCGCGTCGGCCCGTCATCGCCGCAATCTGCAGCGCGACCGCAAACAAAGCCCCGCAGAATCTTAATTAATCTGGCGCGGACGTGGCTCTACGACGACGTCAAAACGCGCTCTCGGCGGCGGCGGCGGCGGTGTCACTTGCATCCCTCGGTCGCGGCCGTACCCCAATCGCCCCTCCTCCCCCCCCCTTTCGAAGAAAACCTAAATCCGTCATCCCCGCGGCGACTTTTGATGAATTGCCCCGTCGCCGGACCAATTAAGTTTCCGTGTGACCGGTGCCGCGCGGTCAAGCTAAAAAGCGAGTTTTCCCGCGCGCGGACTGTTACAGAAGGAGAGTGAGAGCGAGAGGGACGGCTGCTATTATATTGCGGAGAAAACGCGGCCCGTCATAAATCGTGTACGCGTTCCGCTATATACTGTAATACTACTTTTTATTCCGCAATACGAGTATTTTGCTGCAGCGTATAAATATATACCTACTATTATTTACTATTATTATATCGTACCTCCATATACATATATACATCGGTGACCCGGATGTATAAAAGCCGTGGCGCGATAAGGGCGCAGTAAATTTCGGGGATAAGACGGCGGGGGGAAAAAACCAATTTTCGAGACGACGTCCGGTTATGCAAAACGGGCGCTCGGACGTGCGGGTATATAGCGGCCGCCGCCGCATCGAAGTTTTCTTATTATTTTTGCCGGGGACGACGGATAGCGCGGAAAAGGGATGCCATTTGACGACGACGACGACGACGACTACGACCGTCGTAAACGTCGAGGCCGAAAATATCATTGCGATCCGGCCGGGGTCATAACTTTCTTAGCCCCGTGCGCCGCACACGCTCCGCTCGCAATGAGGTGTTTAAATGCAATACTTGTTCCGGCGGCGGCGGCGGCGGGTCAGGGATGGCGGGGTTTGCGGACCCTTTGCTGATGCTGCACGCGGTGCTCATGCATAACAAGTAGTATACGCTAGTAAATATTAACCCCCTGTTTTGCGGGACACCGGTAATAAAACGCCCGAAAACCACTACCGTATTATGCGGCGGCGGTAAGTAAGTGCGCTCGGCGTGACGTTTCGTTTGTGTAAACCGTTGTGCGGCGCAATAACGACAAAGTGTCGACGAGCAAAGATAACCGCGACCGTATAATAATAACAATACGTGTATACACGTGTACACGCGTACGCGTATATTGGGCGTACAAAACGTCGTCCGGTTGATTTTCAGCTGAAATTTTCGTAACGCGCGATGGCGGCGTGAGGGGGAATGTCGTGCGGCGGGCGGCGGACGGAATGGCCGCGGCGGTGCGGTGCGGTCGACCGCGCGGCAGAAAATCCTTGTCAATTTGAGTCGGTCCGCCGGGCAAAACGTCACGGACACGATCGGATAAGTGAACCACGCGCGTGACAGAGACGGAGGAGAGAGAGAGAGAAAGAGAGAGAGAGAGAGAGTGAGAGAGAGCGAGCGAGGACGAAAGTACTCTCAGCCCGTTCGGTCCGCTTCCGCCGCAGCTCGCTCTTCTGCTACGCATATACAACGCTCTCTCGGCTGTCACTCGGCCGACGGTTGTCATTCCGCCGCGCGCAAAGGGTTTCTCGCCGCCGCCGTCCGTCCGTCCGTCCGTTGCATATTCAATGAGCGCGCGCGTTTCTCGTTCGTCGATTTCCGAACCGTCGTCGTCGCCGCCGCCACCGAAACCCAATAACGCGCGCGGCCGACTTGACGTTTTCCCGACACGCACACGCGGGCACGAGGCGTCCGTATTATAATATTATGTAGCCGAGAGTGTCGTTGAGGACGGACAGTTCCGCCGGCGCGCGCCCGCGCGACAGAGGGGAAAACAATCGAGTGCGCGCCTCCGTCGCCGAGGTGACAGCGGTGCACGAGATTAAAGGAGAACCGCGTGCACGCGGAACATCATTCGGCGTCGACCTCGTTAAAAACGAACGGGCCGAACGGAAAAAAAAAAATAAAATATACATCTCCTCTATATTTTCTCCCTGTCTCGTCACGGATATACACGCGTGTCTCTCGGCGTTTTCTTTCATAAAATATATACACGTAACGCGGCGCCGCAGCGGCGTATTATGTACGTACATCCGTATGCGCACGGGCGCTATACTATTACTCGTGCTATACTCGCACGTCGGAAAAAGCTATACGGCCGGGTCCGCGCGATCGAGCGCCGTTCCCCCCCCCCTCCCCCCCCGTCACGTTTTGATGGGGTGCCATAAGTCTCGGTCGCGGCCGGCGCGCTAAGATATTATGACTGCGGACGTTGATCGAAGGCCGCGCATCGCGGTAAATAAACGGGCGCGGGCGGCGGCGGCAGACGTCGTCGGTAGTCCATCCGTAACGTTCATTGCCCGCCGTACATCAAACGGCCGACCCCATGCGAAATCCGTCCGCGCACCACCTCCCCGCCCATCACCATTTCGCGCCCCTCCCGCTCACCGCCGGCGACTACTCGCCTATCCGTTTCAATCATATCACTCCACTCGAATTATTACATTCGTTTTGTCGCGCGCGCGCCACGCCACCGTCCGCGTCTCCGGAATGCGTACACAACGGTCCCCGACACACACACTCTCGCACCTATCTCATACTCGTATACTATCGCGTTACATTATTCGTCGTCGATCGACCGACACGACCCGTTCCGATCGATTTTCCTTTCTTTTTCGTGCGTGCGCGGTCGCGTGCGTGTGCGGTTTTTTTTTACGCTCCTGACGAATATTCTCGTCCGCGCGCAGCGCCGGATATATATTCTTCTTTTGTTATTTCTCCGCTGTCGTCGCGTGTAGCTGGAAACCGGCGGACAGCTGTCTCTCCGTATAAAAATATATACGTGCGCGTACATAGGAAAGAGATCCGGGGTCGGCGGCAAAAATAAAGAGTCCGCGGCGGGCGGCGGCGGCGGTGACGGACGAAGACGCGACCGGGTGACGGCGGGCCGGGTAGATGGGAGGAAAGAGTAAAAGGGAAAGAATATTTACTGAATAGAGAAGAAATAGGAGAGGGCGGAGGTGCGAGTGGAGGGGGAAAAAAAGAAAGAAAGAAAGCCGCATGACAAGACTGTCACTCATTGCCGTCGGCCGGGCAATCCGCGTTTTCCAATTTTCCGGGGGACGACGTCCACAAGCAATTTCCTCGACTGTACACCGACGCCGCCGCCACCGCGTCCGTCACGCCGCTTCGCCATATACGGGACCGTTTGCCGCCGCCGCCGCCGCCTCCGCTGCAGCCTTCGGTGATCTGTGGGTGACGTGAACAGGTCGCGCCGGGCTTCAACGTCACTTGCAACAGAGCGAAAAAAAAAAAAAAATACGAAAAAAACAACCCTGTCAACCGTTGTGTAACGTCGTCGTTCGGCGAAGACGACCGGACACGCACACGCGCGCACGCCGTGTGTGTACGTATAATACGTCCGCCGGTCGCCGCCGCCCCCGCCCCCCGTCCCCGGCGTCCCGGACCTTTTTCGCGAAATGAAAATGTTTATATTCGGACGTACCGCCGCCGCACGCCGTTCGTGTATATTATACATGTGTGTGAGCGCGCGGGCGGCGGCGGGGCGAACGGCAAAACGGGAAAATCGCTTTCGAACGGAATCCACTCGAGTCGTAAGCTCTCTTTCTAAAACACACGAGCGCGCCCGCACACGCACACATACGCACACACACGCGCGCACAAACACACACACACACACGCTCGCGCGACGAGCGTGTCTGTGTCTCCGATAAAAGATACGCTCGCCGGTCGCATTACGCGCGGTTTATAAATGTATTATTCATCGTATATACTGTATAAAGGAGTCCTCGAAAAAATTTAGCCGAAACGAAAACGGTTCTCGATGATAATAACAATAATAAGAAAATACGCGCGGAAAAATGTCGTCGCCCGGAATCGAATCCGCCGCGTCGGATTCGTTTGATTCCGCCGCCGCAGTGCGCTACGCGTTGGTTTTACCACGTGCCGTACGCGCCATACGCGAGCGTCGTTGATTTTTTAACTGTTTGCCAACAACTTTACCGGCGGAAATGTCACATCGATTTCCAAACTGCGTGCATAGCGTTTTCCTCCAGAAACCGAATTTCATCGTGTCGGTCTGCGTATGGTTTGTATTGTGTAGTTTTGGGCGAAACGGACTAATTTAAGAAAACTATACGCGGTTTCGTTGTTTTCGGTTTTGGGTTTTTTTTTTCCCGGTGGAAATTCGATTTGGAAAAAATCACAGCGACATTTTCGGGGATATTTTATGTCCTTTTCAAGACGCGGCGAAATTTAAAATAATATAATTCAAAAAAAAAAAATTAAGTAATTTTTTTTCCTACACGTTTTCGGAGTTTATATACTAGCTGTAAATCGTGAAAATCGCGACATTTCATAACGCGATATCGTTTAATCTCCGAGTTTCACTCAGAATCGTATTTCGTTATAACTATAATTTATCGCCGCTTACGGAATATATAAATTAAATATAGCTTCGTGTACGCTGTCACAGCGGCACGACCGTCAGCGGTATTAGCTCAGTTTTTTGGATTTTTTGTTTTTTTTGTTTTTTCGGGCCGATATAATCGAATAGCGAATAATAACACGCGGAAAAGGAATTATCTATAATAATATTATATAATATACGGACGTAATTTCACGGTGGGCAGCCGGGCGGGGACATCAAAAAACCGGTGTAAATTATGTGACATCGTGTATGCGTGTGTGTGTACGAGTGCGGTTTTTTCCCTCCCCTCGTTAATGATACCGCATTGAACCCGAGGATTAAAAGTCGTGCGTGGTGTTAACAATGATGCGCGACGCGTCAGCGGTATTAGCTCAGTTTTTTGGATTTTTTTTTTTTTTTTTTTTTTTTATGATCGCTGCGGCATATAGAGAGCGCGCGCAACAACAACAGCAATAATAATAATAATAATAATAATAATACTACGAAAGACGGAAAGAGGTTTATGATGATCCGGGGCTGACGGACAAAACCTTGATTTATTGCCGGTCCGCGTGTGCATATCTCGTGGCAATAATAATAATAATGATGATGACGACGACGATAATAATAATAATAATAATAATAACAGTATATAGAGTTTTTCGTTCCCCTCTCGCCGTGTCGGGGCTGTGTATATATACGCGTATAATATCATCGTAACCGACGCTGTTCCGTAAGCCCCCGTTATTCCGATTTCGAGGTGGGAGAGGGGGGGGGGGAAACACTAAAATTCGACGTGACGCGATCGCGAGATTTATCGCGTTCGATACAATAACGCGAACTGCACATTATTATAAAGGCCCCAAAGGAGACGTATATAATATTCGTGATACGTATAGTACGCATGCCGCGTGTGCGTACATGCTGCGAGCGGCCATCGTATGTATACACGCGGACAGATGCGGCGCGTTGTTCTCGGGCACTCCGTGTTTGCATTACGCGTGTGGAAATGTCGAGACAATAATTATTATTATGTTATTATGTTGTGTGGTATGCACGGTTTTGACGTATTGCGCGAGGACTCGTGAAAAACCTTGAAATACGCGCGAGCGCTTATTATTCTAAAGCGTACGACGCGTGCCAAAAAAAAAAAAAAAAAGAAAAGCAACAAACCTTATAATAGCCGAACGACCGAAGCGGTTATTACCGGTCCCGAGAGGTATTTCGCCTTTTCATTAACGACCCATTGCCGACACGAAACGCGAATGAGTTCAACAACAGAGAACCCGGAGAAAAGCTCATGAAAAATTAACTGCCGCGGATGCCGAACTTTCAAAAAACGCGCGTCCGATCAAAACCGATTCGCCGAACTCGAAATCTAAAACTGTCTCGAAAATACAGTTATGACTGTAGAGCGACGGTTGTAAAACGTTCGGAGTTCAGACGGCGGAATAGACGCAAATAAAAATAGCCGGACCGATAGTGTTAACGACGCAAACCGGGCGCGCGATAAAAAAAAAAACAAAAATAAAATAAAAAAACACGAGTAGTATCCGTTGTAGACGCCGAACAATCGGAGCGAACGTCGTCGTCCGTCGGGCCGTTATCAGTTCGGTCTGTAATCAAAGTACAAACGTCCGGCCCCCACGTTTGTCGCCCGCGAATTCGCACCCGCGGGGACGTTATGAAATTATAAAACAGCGCGCGACATTCCGGAGACGGTGCGTTTTTCCGATGTTTTTCGAACTATTACGGTCCGAATGTTATAGCGTTTCTGCAACACCCGTTTGTATAAATTCGCGGACTAATCCGTCGTTTTTCAACGACCTTAACGTTTTCCCGGAAAACCAACTAGAAAATCATAGAAACTCGTCGTCTCGACGTCCGGCGTGTTTTTACACTGGAAAACCGAATCTTGCGGGTTATATTAGACCGCGTCCTCTTGTGCGTACCGTCGACCGGAGATTGTGTATGAATTTACAAAAAAAAAAAATAAATAATAATAAACGCCGTAATTTTCGAACAATCGCGACGCAACGTGACGAATGAGTTTGTTTTTTTTTTCACAGATCCCCTCCCGCCGCGAAATAATAACGTTACATTATATTACGCGGCGACCGTCGGAGGGGAAAAAAAATGCGTTTACCGCGTAATTATAGTCGCCGTCGTCGGCGTTTTCGGTTGTTTTTTTTTTCCCGTTCGCGTCCCCGTGGCGGCGGTTGATCGACAGCGTCCATCAAAAAACGCGAAAACTTAAAATAATAATAATAATAAAGAACCGAGAAAAAACCGCTTCGCGAGCGAACGAGTGTCCCCCGCGGCGGTGACAGGTCTCGTATTATATATGAAATATATATTTTTATTTTTTTTTTCCCCGCGAAAAACCGAAACGATTCGCGCGGGCGCCGCCGCGGGATGTCCGGCGAGCGCGGGTGGTAAAGTGCACGCCGTAATTTACCGCGGGCGTAGGAAAAAAAAATAAAAAAAAAAAAAAACTAAAAGAAAAACATTGTTATCATTTATAAAGAAATACGTCGCGTACATCGACTGAAAGACGGGAAGGTGAGGGGAAACCGTAATAATATAGGTAATCAACGACTCGGATTATAATATTGTATATTATTGTATTTTATGCGTATATAAGGGCGTTGTGTTTCAATAAAGTCTCCGTCGGGTAAGAAATTCGCGTTTGTCTTTTAAAAACGGAGACTCGTGGCTCGGAAGAGGTGAAAATTATCCCGGAAACGTTCGGAACGCGATCTTGATCCGCGGGGTTTTCGAGCCATTCGCGAAAAACATTCGCGAGGTCCGGGGTCGAATCGACGAACCGTCTGATCCTCTACGGTCGTTCGCCCGTCGGAGGAGTTTGTGAATTTGACATGGAGAACGTACGGGTCCTCGGTAAAAGTGATCGGAGAAACCGCGGCGACATCCTACGCGGATCTTCAAACGCGTCCCGGAGCTCATTCGTCACGTATCGTTCACCGGCGGCGATTGACCGACGATATTCGCGGTCGGACAGACCCGCGGGCGGTTTTCGAAAACGTTTCCCCGTATAATAATTCCGAAAATTAAACATTGACGGAATCGCGCGCGGGCGGAACTGCGGCCACGAAAACGACGACGTCAAATCGTTGCGGGCCGAATGTGCGGATACCGTTAATCACGGGCCGTGAGAGAGAGAGTGAGAGGGAGAGAGCGCGGAGAGAGAGCCACGAGTATAGGTCGGTCGGAAAATTAAATATATCGCCGCGCCGCGGTAAATCGAGACCGATTTACGGCGATCGGGCGGCTGTTTGCGTTTTATATTATCGAGAGAAAGAGAGAGAGAGAGAGAGCGAGAAAGACTGTAATGAACGTATACCTATATCATAACGCGGTTTATTCGGGAGTCTCGAGAGTTTGTTTTCGGCGGCGGCATCGTTTAGGGGTTTCTTGACAAATTAGCCGCCGACAACCGACCGACGCGGCGTCGTGTGTGTGTGTGTGTGTGTGTGTGTGTGTATGTGTGCGTGTGTGTATACACGATAATACACTCGTCGTCGGCGACCGCGGCGGCGGCGGCGGGGTAGGGTTAAACGAGTAGACGCCGGCGTGCGCGCGCGCGTGTGCGTGTCGACGACGTAAAGCGGCCGGCGAAGGAGGGGGGGCGAGGACGACGGCGGCGAAGGCGAACACGAGGCACGCGACGACGCGCGTTACGGTTTTTTCGTACGGCCCCCTCTTTTGAAAACGATCGAAATTTCATTTAAACCTCACACGCCCTCCCCTACGCCCCCACCTTCTACGCCGTTTTAAATACGCGTACGCTATCGAATTGTCGTTTTTGCGTTTGTGTTTTTTTTTTTTTTTTTCTGATCGCCGCGGATTTCCCGACGCGACGTATTTTTCGCCCGGTCGATTTTCCGTCGATTCCGCTATTATCCGCGCAGGCGACTTTGCCGCTATACTTTCGACGTTTCCAAACGAGACGTAGAATGTATATCATTATTAGTAAATCGCGATAATTCGCGGTCAATCGACTCTTTGACATTTTACTATTTTTTTCTTTTTGGCGTACCGGACAATATGAAATACACGAACGGTCGGCGGCGGGCGCTCCGCGACCCGTTCGGGCGGACGCGCACGGGAAACACTCGGCGCGTTAGAACACGCGAGTTTACGAAACCGGTGAATCGCAGTGGCCGTTTGTAGTTTACTGTGGTTTTTTTTTTCGTTTTTACCGCGACCGTTTCGCATGACTTTACGGACAAACTCCGTATAACAATCGTAGACAGTTTTCGGACGCGCGCGCCGAAATGAAAGTTTCGTCGCCGCCGCGATCGGCACGGAGAACGCGCGACGCGATCGCGCGCGTTATTTTCCGTAACATTCGATACGTATAATTTTTAGTATTTTTTTTTTTTCGCGCCGAACATCTGCCGGGCGGTGATAAATGTCGACAGCCATTATTGTTGGTTGGTTGCGCGCCTCCGTTCGGTATTTTATACACTACACACGCACGCAAACACACACACGCACACGCGCGCGCACATAATGTTACGTGTAATTCGACAAACACATGTCCATCGCGCGCTGTGCACACACGCCGCGCCCGCGGTCATTAATCGCGCGCGTTTGACGTTTTTTTTGATTCCGTTCCGTCACGGCGATCGTCGTCACCGACCCGGGAATACCGGGCCCCGCGGGCCCGGTCGCGCGCAGTCATCGCGCTGTCGTGCCGGCCGCCGCCGCGTACCCGGCGGCGCTCGTTTATCGCCGCGGTTCCGATCGGATTTTCCGCGCCGGCCGTTTTCGCGCGCGCGGACCCGCGGGATTGTTTCGAAAACCGTTTTGTACCGAACGTTGGTGGACCGTACGTCGGCGGCGGTAAATACTCTCTCCGAACATTTTCCGATTCCGGAAACGATTCGTGCGCGTATCGACAACCGCATCGTTTTGTTACGACGATCGTCACCTTTACATTCGTTTTGGCGACAGTTCCGCGAAAAAACAATTCGCCGTAGGTATACCGGTGCTTTTTTACGGTTCGGTCGCGAAAACTCGGTTACGGTGTCGCCGAAACGTTCCGTTTACCGCACAGTGTATTTTACCGACGGATCACGATTCTGCGGTAACCGCGAAGACGGTACACAATATTAGAGTTTTGTCGCGGTCGTCGAACAGCCACGTTGCTATACCGTAACGCTATCGAGACGAAAAACAGCATTCGTTCGCTAGCTATGGGCTATGGGCTATAATAGTGACCGCACCGCCAACATAAAGTCGACATAAAGTAGACTTTTCGTGTCTCGGCGACCACCCCTCCCCCTCCCCAACACCCGCCCCGAAAAGGCGCGTACGATAAAAACGTAATAATTGTAACTCACTGCACCGGTGTACGACGATGACGACACGTCACGCGTTATTCATCGTTGTCGTCGTCGTCGTCCTCACACCGCGTATACGTGCGGGAGAGAGGGCGCGGGACGAGCGTATAATATTATTTCGACGCGTCACCTCTTGATTTATAGACACGACGATGTCGATGGTAATTAAAGCGAGGAGAAAAAAAATAATAAAACGAAGAGGGACAGATGTCTTTCGTGCGACAGTATATATATTATTATACAGGCGCAGGTCGTGTGTGTGTGTGTGTGTATCGTCGTCATCATCATCATCATCGTCGCCGTCGTCGTTGTTGTCGTCATAAAATATTTATACTCGTACGACGAGGTATTTTTTTTTTTTTATTACGCGCGCGTAATGTCATACCTATATATCGTATAAAAAACGCGTGTTGCCCGCATTAACCTGGGCGTAGGTACATATTATTATACACCTCTATGTGTATGGCGCGGGCGCGCGCGCACTAGCGGTCGTTTACGAATCGCGGGACGATATTAAAATAAACGCGACGGGGAAAAGTTTGGGGGGGGGGGGAAACGTTTAAACGTCGGGCCGGGAAAAGCGAAAAAATCGAATGAAAAAAAAAAAAAAAACCGTTTCGAACTGCCGCGGTGACGAAAACGCGATAACGGGTCGCTCGTGAGCGCCCGTGTGACAATAACGGCCGTATTCTGTGCGCGGGCGATAATAATGTCGCGGATCCGTTATCACAGTGCTATCGGCGGTTCACGAAATCACGCGGTAATCCGAATAATAATTTAAAAAAAAATAAACAAACAATTAACGGGTTTAGGATGGCGGCGAAGTAGCGGGCTGACCAGCAATATTTTTGACTCTCGGCGGTTCGAAACGCGCGTCCTCAAATCGTCGGATTCGTCATTATGTATGTCGAAAAATAGAAAAAAGCGTTGGGGTTGCAACCTATTTTAAATTATTTTCGACCTGTCCCGAATCCCGTTGGCCGCCACAAAACAGCCTTTAGCCGTACGAATGTCGTGCGAAACGTTATGGAAAGTCGTAAAAGAAACCTATACCAGTTAATCGTTTGCGGTTAACGAACTCTTACGAACACGGTCAGGTTCGAAAACAAAATCCTACGGGTAAAAAAATCCGTGCGTGTACACGACCGCGGCGGGCTTAATAGGTCCGTGTGATTCGATAAACCGTCAGTGATTTTCCGGCAGGAGGACGGGCTGTTTGACAGCGCGGCGCGGCGACTCGACTCCCCTGCAGGTCACTTCCCCTATATTCGCGTGCGTGGGCCACGCCGTAGTGAGCTGCGGGCCGCGACTGCAGTTCGCGCGACGGACGGGCCGGATATCTGACGATTTTATTCGCTTCTTTTTTTTTCCTTTTTTTCCCCCCCCCTTCCCCGCCATGTGCACCGACGACGACACACACGTATAATAATAATAATAGCACAACACGTATATTGATATATCGGTGTTTATAAAACGCGGATTTCGCACGGGCCTCGTCGGGCCGAGGAGTCGGGCGACGCGGCGCGCGCGGTACGGCGACGCGGAGGGCGGTTGACAGCTGATCTTTTATTGCGCAGCAGCTTTCCGCGCGGACGGGGAAGCCGTTTATTTATGTGATATTTTATATATATATATATATACACGCGAGCGCAGTATACATTTTATTTTATTTTATTTTTTTTTCTCGCCCCGTTGTTCCCGGGAAAAGACATAAATCAGTCGGTGGATATTTTCGACAGGGCCGCCGCCACGGCCGATCAGCGCCGCGGCGGCAACGGCAGCAGTCCGTCAGAACCCCGACGGACGGCCATTAAAATTATTAATTACATAAATAACGCGCGCGATCTCGCACCCCTCAACTGTATCACACACACACACGCACACGCGGGCACTGCGTTACGCACAATCTTTTGATGTCAAACCGATAGCACATAAATTACGGTAATTTTTTTTTTTTTTTTTTTCCGTATATCCGCCGACACCCCCCTTCCACTCCCCACGGCCGTACGATACGCGTATATTATCATTATACATTATTATATGGCCGCTGCAGAAAAACGATCGCCGATATTATATTATTTTCGAAGCGGCACCACCGCTTTTGTCAGCGGGCCGCGCGTGCCCCGGTCGCCGTCGCGTTTATATACGCGCTAGCGGCAAAAATCCCCCTACAAAAAAAAAAAAAAAAAAAAAACCGTCCTCTTATATTGTATACGTGCGCGCGTCTACTTGCGCTGCACCTATATTATTACAATACGAATTATAATACGTTAAACCGCGTTACGTATACGGCGACGATCGTTTGTATAATTAGGAGACCCATTGAAAATCGCGTGCCGGGCCCGTATTATATTTACCGTTACACGATATTAAATATAATATTATAATACTCGTGCGTGTAGTAAATCGCGGGAGATGTTTTTTTTTTTTTTTCGGTTTACGACTCGCGCGAAAAAACCGCGGAAATTCCAATTAATCGGGTAAAACGGCGAATCGTTTCCTACAAATACGCGACGGCGATGTCCCGATGATTATTTTCGCAATTCGGTTAAACGATTTTGTCGTACATCACAGAGACCCGCGTAGCGTTTTCCGCAGACGACGCGGGGTGAAATTTTCAACTGCCATGTTCGGCAGTTTTTACTCGGTATGCGGGGATAAAACAGTTTTAGCCGTTTAGCACGGTTCGACGGTTTATCACGCGCGAGCTTTACCGTTTTACGCGAGTCTGAAGTGCGTAAACTCTAACGGAAAATCGCTGCCGCTCAAAATCCATATAATTGTTTGTCCGGCTTTGAACTTCGATCAGTATCGCATTTCGTCGGCGATTGTTATTATACCGTTGATGCGTACGGACCAAATAACTCTGTCGCACTTTCACAAACTCTATGTGCCCATAAACCCTACCGATTTATTCCCATCACCTGCTACAGCGGCACTCGCAGGTGCATCGTTCCACAGCGGCGATTCACTCCCGGTCTCGCCTCGGACGCGCCGTCATTGCGACCGGCAGTTTGGACGCGACGCGTCCGCGGGCGGCCGGTGTGCGCGGCCGTATATTAAGCGCGCGTTTATTTCTCGTTTTTGAGACCGCACCAAGAAGTTTTCGCGAACTGTATAGGTGAATAATTCGGGCCGGCAAAATTAATAACTGGCACGTGCGTCGGCGGCGGCGGCCCGGGCGGACGGAATCGAAATAAATCAACCGGCCGACGGACACGAATAATAATAATGCGATTCGTCCGCCGGCCGTCGAAACTTTCGGAATCGAAATAAAATTATTTCGCTCGTTCCGCGCAATAATAACAACACGCGCGTCCGCGTTATAGTAACGTTAATGTGGTTCGGGACAGTTTCGACGGCTCTTTTTCGCACGGCGTCTCGTCGAAATCGCATCGGCGGCCGCCCCCGGTTCCGCCAGCCCCCGTGTCCCGTTCCCGCCGGTAGATCCGCCGATTCGCGCGCGTGTTGTTCGGGGGCCGACGGCCGTAGCACCTGTGCGCGTGTCGTTATAAATTCCCACGCGGGCCGACACGACGCGACGACGTTACGCGGACACGTTCCACGCGCGTGTATACCAACGCTGTTTTGTGTGGAAACAATAAATTGTCACGTTGCCGCGCGCGGGCCCGCGTTCATTAGCGGAGTTGTGTGGCCCCGGACCTTCGGCTCGCGGCGCGTCGCGATCGCCCCCGACAAGCCGACAACCGCCGTCCGTTGACGATAACGATAATATTAACTATTATTATTTATGACGCGGCGTTCACCTTCACGTTATTTCAATACCCCAGTACGTTGTCACCGTCGTGTCGCGTCACGGATGCGAAACCGTGTGTCGTTACTACACGCACACCAGAGAATACGGCTCTCGGTCCGTGCGCTGCGTTTCGGCGCAGAGCCAGCCGCAGTGTAGACCGCGGCCACTGCGGCAGGTGCAATAATCGTAAACGGTTCCGGTCGGACGTGGCAACGTGTTAGGTGTGCGCGGTAAAAGAAAAAAGGAAAACGGACAGATTCGTCGACGGTTGTTCTCGCGATACGACTGTACGAGGTTAACCTAACCGCAGTGCGGCCCAGACCGAAACCGTCGACGCGATACGGCGGTTAGCCGTAATTTCGTTGATCGAGCACACGCGAACAGTCGCCCGGGGCAAAAGCTACCGGTCCCAGTATCATGTTGGGCGTACGCGACGCGGCGCCGTGTCTGTTAATCGGTCGTAATGATTTCTTTAGCGTCGACAATATTTCGGTCGCGGGGTTCGTCGAATCGAATTATACGTCGGCGTTCTCGACACGCGAGGAAAATAATTCGATAATGCGACGGCGACGCGGTGCAAGTCGCGCGCGTATTTGCGAGACGAGACGTTATCGCGGGGGCCCGATGACGCAGAACCGCGGGCGCAACGTCGTCGCGAGCGACAAGCCTCGAAGATCTCTGCGTCGCGGAGAGTGGGTGGAGGGGGGGATGATGGGAAAACCACGCACGCACGCGCGCGCGCGCACACCTACACAGATGCTCGCGCGTATGGTATTTACACGCGTTCGGTCCCGTGCCGATTGGCCGGCCGGCCGCGGCCCGTCCGCGTCGGGGCGTGGCCGGCCGTCCGGCGACGGACACGCATTCACTCGTCCCGTCCGGCGGCTGCTGCCGCTGCGACGTATGTATCGGTAATGAGGCGCGCGTATTATCCGTATGAATACCGGTCACCTGACCCGTGTACGGACATTTACCCGCCTACCGGAGCACTGGTACGACCGATACCCGCTTAGAACGCAACGGGTACGCGAGATACATTATTATTGTTATTATTGTTATTTAAAACTGTACGGCGACGACTCATTGCCGCGTGGTGAATTCGTTTTATCCGTCTTTAATCGATAAAAATAATAAACAACCGCCGCGCGCGCGTTACAAGAGTCGACGTTTACGGGCGATAATAAAATATTTCTCAGACTTTTCCACGGGTGCGGGCGCGTTATCGCCCCGGACCGGACCGGTTCGCGCGCCCGACGGAACCGCGACCCGTGATCCGGCTGCGGGTTTTCGTCGTTTTGACGTTTAAACCGGGCCGCGGCGAGCCGTGCGTTGCGGTTGGTGGGGGGGGGGGGNGGGGGTGGGAGGGCGAAATACTCTCGAACCGGTCGCGATAATAAATTTCGAGGACGACCGACGTCCGTCGGACGCGTGAAGATTTACGACGCGCGGCTATTCTTCGTCCGGCCGGGAGAGAAAAAAAAAAAAATCGCGAAATTCCTGCGCGCGTTACACACACACACACACACACACACAATATAATGTTATATAACGCGCGGACGGTTTTGGCGTTAGGTTATTGCGGCGTTTGACGTGCGTAGTATTTTTTTTTTTAGTTCGGGAAGGAAAAAAAAAAAAAACGTGTGTGTACATATTATATTATATTGAAAATCGGTCGACCGCCGGGCGGCCGGGAGTCTCGCTGATTGACAAAAGGTGCGCGCAGGAATTCGGAGCGCGCGTAAAGACGTCAAATAATATCGCCTCCTTTTGTCGTCGTCAACCAGTTTGACCGGGGTCCGTCGTCCCGCGAGCGCGCGCGCCATAAATCACGCTCGCGGCCGCCGCATAATGGCCGCGCGTCTCGGAATTGCACAATATGCGCCGCCGCGCGTTGCTGCATACGTGTGACGGCGGAGCCGATGCCCCCGTTGATTTTCCGCCGCATCATTTATAATACCTTTTCGGGTGCCGGACGTTTTTCTCAATATGATATTGTGTATAAAAACGTCCGTAACAATATTCTTTCGGCCGTCGGCGACGCGCACATATTATTATTACTATTATCGTTATTGTGCGTTACCGGCTATTACCTGTGTAACGCATAATAATACGAGTGTACGGGTACCTACGCGTTATTATATTGTATTATTAATCAATCGGCGGCGGCGGCGACGACGACGACGACGACGGTCCGGTCGCCGGGAAATAATTCGATTCCGCGGGGAGACGCTTGAAAGGAACGCTAATGGTCGTCGTCCGGGGTCGTCCTTTTCGGTCCTAACCTAACCTTATAATACATATTATATCATATACACCGTAAAATCGCCGCCGACTCTTTCGCGCGCGTCCGAGCAAAACGTATTATTATGGACGTCGTAATGACGCGTACGTTAAAATATTATTTCGAGCGATTTGTACGCGGTCCGGTCAGACAGGACCTAACCGCGTTGGTCTAACGTGCGTTCGCGTACCAGCGTTGGATCGGCGCAACCTTTTGGCCACCACTTACGAAACAAAATGTCCACGAATTCCCGTTTCGCAACTCAATAACGTATTCCCGCCGTCGGTTGATTCGTCGACTCGAACGGTAAAACGATTTCGGGTACGCGTCTATCGTTTCTATGTACCGTCATCGCGTTCCGGGAAATCGATTGAATTCGTCATCAAAGTGTTTGCCGTCGCTCGTGCTGGACTACGATTGTTCCGACAACCGTTATTCGCTATTTACACGTAAATTATTTCGTCAAATTCGTGGGTACGGCTCGCGGGAATCCCGGAAAAAAAATGAACAACAACGGTGAAATGTTGAATATAATATTTGATTATTAACTACGAAAAGAGAAAAACAAACGATATCATACGAGTACTATTTATAACACTAGAACATTTTGACGCTTTAGTGACTTTTGACAGACTAGATAAAGTTCGGTCAAATAATCGCACGAAAGTATGGAAAAGTCCTAATAGGTAATTTCGATGAAAGATACCTATGAGATACCGACCACTCGTTATTTGAAAATATTTTTTTTTGTCACACGATTTTTTTTCCAATTAAAAAAAAACAAACATTTTTCACAAGCAATATATATTTATTCAATTTTTAAATCGGTTTACTTTTCACAGTCAATTTATGTATTTAAAATTGTTGTTCTTTTTTTTCCTCGGTGTTTTTTACCGATTGCCGCCGAATCGGGTCCGTGCATTCAAGGCCGTATACAACGAGAGATCAAAAGCGGTAAAAACTCGGGACTTTTCCGAAAAACCCGCGGGACGGCGTTATCCCCGTCTCCCGGCTCACGGAAACGGGCCGCCCGCGCGACCTTGCGACCGCGTCCAAACCATAATACGGCTTGCGTACAGCGCGGACAACAACAACAACAACAACAACAATCGAAATAACAATAATAATAATAATAATACTCTTACGATATTTCTGTGCGCGTGAGACGCGCGGCCAACGTTTTTTTTTTTTAACCTTTACGCGCGGCGAACGGCCCGCAGATAGAGCGGATAGAAAGATAGTGAGAGAGAGAGAGAGAGAGAGAGAGCAGGCCATTGTTCCCGCGTCGCAAAAATCGAAAAGCGTTTAACGACCGCGGCGACGACGAGACAATACCGCTACACGCATATGCAAATAATATTCCTCGGGACGGGGAATAATTTGCATACAAACGCGGCGGCCCCGCTCCGGTCGGCCCGTACGGTATGGCCATCGACGGGAAAAACCGACGCGGGGTCTACGGCGCTCGCATATCGTTCGTATTATTCGTATTGTCATGACTATTATTATTATTATTATTATTATTATTATTATTATTATATTACCGCGCTCGTTTATACCATTATAATCGTACGTACGCACGCGCGGGATATAATATAAGAAAACGTTTTTCCAACTTCCCTCTACCCCTCCCCTCCCCTCCCCTCCAACCCCCCCCCACCCGCCGCGTTATTGTCTCGTCGAGAATATATTATTATTATTATTATCATCACCGTTGTTTCTCGTACGCGGTTCGCGCGGCACCGACGTATTCGCGATCTCCGATTATCGGCGTCACGCGTCGTACCGCGGAATTCGGTAAACATCATTGTCGGCGATGCGCCGTGAATAATATTGTCACGGAAATATTGCGCGTTTGTTAGACCGACGCCGCCTACAACGCCGTCTCGGCCCGTTAACGCCGCGTAGAAAATCCGCGCGCGTCAAACGCATTGTAATCCGCGCGAGCGAAACGCGTTGACGTTGCACCGTCGATTCCGCGATCCTTTCCCGAGGACTTCTCGCGGACGCCGTCCGCGTTACTGTGTTAACGGACGAACGCGCGAAATTCGCGTACGCACAATATACGAACGCGTCGCACGGGTAAATATGCGCGCGCGCGCGTATAATTACGTATACAAAACCGGGCGATTATCAGGCGAATTAATTCGTCGCCGACGGGCCGGCGGAAGGACCGTGTATTATTATTGTTCGGCTTGCGCGGCGGCGGGGAACGTGCCGGCGCAAAAAGGGGTTTGAGGTGACAAATGAGAATTAAACAGACAGACAGACGGCGCGCGCGCGCTCGCGAGCCCGCGGCGGAGGGACGGGCCGCCGCCGCCGCCGCGGAGGGTAGAGAACGCCGAGACGACGGCGGCGGCGGCGGCGGCGTTGCGGCAACTTAATGTTTAATGACATCGCGTTAATTGGTGCGGTTACCAGCGTTGACAATTAATTTACGAGTCTGTTTGTTTTGGCGGTCCCCGCGCCCGTCGACCCGACGACGACGACGCCGCCGCCTAATTCAGACCTTTCGCCGCGGTGTACTACACGCGACGGATAGACCGTGTAATATTTTCATCGCCGCCGTATCGTTTTTTTTTTTTTTTTCGGATTTTTGGAAAACGGATTGTCGGAAAATCCGGATTTTTTCTACTGTTGTTGTATTTATATTTTTGGATTCTCTTCATTCGAAAAAAAAAAAACCAAAACACGCTCGGTAAACGATTAGAGAAGAACAAAAAAAACCGTTTCGAAATCCGGATTTTCGATCTCGATCTCGGAAATTGGGGATTGAGGCGTCGGCGGATGAACGGAAATGTCGGGATCCCCTTCCCGGCTATAGAATCTATCCCCGCGGTCGTTATTAACAGCGCGGACCCGTCGTCGTCGAATCGTGTTTTTTTCCTTTTTTTATTATTATTTTCACGAAGCCGACGTAACCGCACGCGCAATACGTATTTCGCGCGGATAACAATAACGATTGGCCGGGCACAGTCTGCGGCGGCGATCGGATCGGGGTGATAACGATATAAATAACGTTGATAATAATAATTATCATTGTAAATACCGGTCGTCGTGCGTCGGACGTTCGCGATAATATTATAACGACGGCCGTGTCGTCACTGTATTGTACTGCGATGCCCGATTACAACGGGTGAGGAGTGGCGCTGACCGGTGGCGCTCGGCGCGTTGAAAATAAAATATATAATAACGCGTACGGGTTGAGGGCCAGAGGGGGGGGGCAGTGAAGGGGGAAACCGACGCCGACTAAATAATGTAAAAAAAAAAAAAATGCGCGCGGGTATATTTAAAATAAAAAAAAAAAAAAAATTACACCGCGGACCATCACGACCCGGGCCGCATAATACACGCGGCGGCGCGAACAATAGACGATAAATCAGACCAATTAAACGATATAGCCGATATTTTCTTTTTCTTCGCATTCCGCGAGCGCCTTTTCTTTTTTTTTTTTCTTTACTACGTACACGGTCGCACGCACAACGCGAGAAAGACGAGGGGCGGGTAGGGGAACAAAAAAATAATAATAATAATAAAAACCGCGCGCCGCAGCAGTAAAAAGCGCGTGCTTTATCGGAGACGGGTATCCGAACGTTCATTTCGTTATTATTATCGCCGCCGGCCGCCGACTGTTTATTTCTCATTTTTTTTTTTCCTCTCTCGTCCCTTATTCTTTCTCATATTTTTATTGTAAACTACGGCGGTCTACAAAAGCGGACGCGGCGCTCCGTGAACTTTTCCGCGGGCACGACAATGGCGTTTTACGGGCATTTCGAGAGCGTCGTCGTCGGTGTCACGGTGGCGACGGCGGTGGCGGCGGCGGCGGGCCGAAAGAGCGCGGAGTAGTACGCGGCGGCGGCCGTCGTGGCAGTTTTAAGTTTTCATAAACAACCCGTTCCCGGTTTTTATTATCGGCCGGGGCCATCTGCGAGGCGTTAAGACAATGGGCTTCGGGTCGTGACGGCTGCGGACAGGTTCGAGAAATCCGCCCCGCGGGTTTTTTTTTTTTTTGTTATTTTTATTGTTTTTATTATGACGGTAGCGTCGTTATCGGGCGCGTTCGATCTCGAGGGTTTGTCGGCCCGGAAAATTCGAGCGCCCGGCCCCCATTGTCTCGCCGTCGCGGCTTCTTTATTTTTTCCCCTCCCCGCCGGCCGCGCGTAACGCTCGATATGCCTCTGTGTGTGTACGTTATAAGTGCGCGCGTATTATGGCGTTGAACAGCTGCAGCGTTACGCGCGCACCAAAAGTGTGTAGTAAAATACGAGTATAATGTGAATCCCGCCGTAGTCGTCGACGCGCGTTTTCGCGGCGAAAGTTTCCCTCTCCCCCCGTCCCCGTCCCCCCTCGCCGCCACCTCTCTGTTGTTGTTTTCTCGTAAACCCCCTACCACTGCACGGCGCCACTCGCGAGTAGAAGAGACGCACTCGCGGGTGCGCGAAGTTTTTCGAAAAGACACTGACCGGTTGCTCGGCGCGGTTAACAATGGCACACGAACCGCGAGGTTTACGCCCGCATGGGGTCGGAGGTTTACGCCCGCATGGGGTCGGTCGGGACGCGTGAACGATTAGCGAAGAAAAAAAAAAAACGATTAGCGAAGAAAAAAAAAAATGGGGGGGGGGAAAAAACAATACGTACGTGATTATTTATTCAGCACGTGACCGGGAGAGGCCGGGAGACCGCCGTAAACGTTCAGTCGGACCGTCCAGGACGTTTCCCCCTCCCCAGTAATAAATAATACGAATAAACCGTCATGGTACACAACACTGCGCGCGATACGTATGCCATTAAAACACCGAATAAATTAAATAACGGATAACGTTGTCGTTTCTCTGCGACGGTGACGCAACGTAGGCGTCCGTCACCGTAGCTCGCGCGCTCGCATTACGGCGAACGTTCGCATTCGCAAAGACGACGCGCGGACAGCGCCACCGGTCAGTTCGGCGCGCGCACGCCGTTAACAAGACGGCGGCGGCGCGCGCGTACCTGCGGCGCGTGTATTTAAGTCGCTCGTGTCGGACGATACGGACTTTGCACGCGTCCCGCGCATCGACAGCCGACGCCGACGACGTACAAATAAATACAAACGACCCGTTCGGTTCGACGGCGGCGGCGCATAGTTAATCTAAAACGTCCGGCCCGACGGCGGCCCATTATTTCAAATTAGACCGTACCGCGCGCTAACCGGCCCGTCTCGACGACGCGCGCGCGCGCGTACTCTTCGCGGATCACCCGACCGGCGGCTCACTCGACGCGGGTGATACATCAATTCCCTCCCGGTCCCCTCGCATCCCCCGAAAGGAAATCTAGAACTTTCGGAGTTTTTTTTTTTTTTTTTTCCACGCTACGATTCACCGTTCCCCGTATAGCACACGAAAGGCAAAACGTCGACACGTTCTCTCGACGTACGGACACTACGGAAACGCATACGTTTCCGTCCGCGCAAAAATTTATCTCGCAGTAAATAAATATTGTCGGCGCGTTTCGCAATTATTGAAATCGGCCGAACGCAGTTATAAAAAAAAAATAAAACTCCGTGTACAAATATAGACCGTCGCCCTATCGTCGGAATCGCCCACCGAACTCTTAGGTCCCCCATTGAAACTGTACCGTCTTAATTACCTACCGCACGGCAATTGATTAATATTCCGGGTTTCGTGTGTTTTCCACAGGGGAAGGCGGCGAAGGTGAAGAACCGCCAGCGGGTTACCAGGAAGACGACGGCGGTTGTCCGGAGGACGACGAGGACGAGGAGGAGGAAGAAGAAGAGGGAGTGTCGGGCGGATCGTCCGGATCGCCACCCAGATCGCCGATACCGTCAAACACGGACGCCGAACAGGACGCCGCGGCTGTCGTCGGCAACGAACGTCTACCCCTGAGGTCGGTACCATTCGCGGGTCTCGTATTTATCATATTATGTCGCGATGTTTTTTTTTTTTACCGAAACGTACACCGTTTTTTTTCGACGGTTTTACGCGGAAACGAGTGTCGGCGTATTTTCGGCGACCGGCGTATTTCAAACGCGTTCGATTCTGGTAAATTTGTAAAAATCCGATCAATAGTTTTTTCCGTGCAATTAGCCGTTTTAGTGTCGACACATTTCCCATCGTGCGTGACGACTGTGATTCGCTGCTGTCGCGTAACGCGGTATCGTCGTTTTTCGCACCTATCGGCCGCCGCTGAGAAACTGTCGACCGTAAACGGTACGTGTTCGCGGAACAATGCGTTTTGCGAAGAATCGGTCGGACAACCACCCTCCCCCCCCTCCCCCCCGGACAACGGTTTTTAGACTGTCGTAGAAACCGTACGCGCGCTTGGCGCTAATTGTTTTTTTTCGTAATTACCGCGGCGACCGTTCGTTTCGCAGTGTTGGGCCTTGACATTATACCGCGCGGGCGGTCGAAATATTTATTCCGGTAAAACGACCGATTTTTACGCAACGCCGCCCTCGGCTTTGTAAATCTGCGGGCCCGACGACCGCGCGCCAGCGGAAAATGATCGCGTCGCGTACTCTGCGGGCCGCCGCGTTGGAAACCGCGCGCATCGGCGCACAGGGCGATCGCCGGTCGGGTGGGGTTACGGCGGTAGTGGGCCGGAATCATAACTCTTTTTTTTTTTCAGACCGTCAAACTGTCCGGGTTTTTTAAGAGCGCTCCGACGTACGGTTTTTTGAGAGTCGCGGATTTCTCGCCCGGGAGGCGTCGAGAAAAGTAAACCCGACGGACGGTACACGTCGGTTTCGTTTCGTTCGACGGCCCGTGACCGAGGGGAGCGCGCGACTTATCCCGCTCCGTTTTTTCGATTGCTTTTTAGCGCGCAATCAAATTGCCGATCGCTCCGCGACTTTTTTTTTAAATACTACCCCGCGAATCGCTTTTAAAATTCCCGATCGGATATGTATTATTTTACTCGCTAGTAAATTTTCGGTCGAGCGCTTCGTTTTAGCGTCGCACCATTCCCGTTTGTTTCGTATTTTTTTTTTATTTTCGAAAACCCGTCGTTTTCGCCCCGTCGCCAAACCCCCGCGAATAGAACCCCATAACGGCATTAAAAAAAAAACATTTCGAACGACGTACGGTAATAATGTGGTGTTTTCTCGAGGGGCGAGGGAGGTGGTAAGGGGGTGGCGACGGTGTCGGTTTTGGCCGCGTTCATTTGAATTTTCATTTAGTCTTTGGGTTCGCAGAGACGGCGGCTCTTCGACTGATTTACGATAATGGCCCCGGCCGGCGCCCCGCCGCCAAACCGCCCACGTCCCACCCCCCACCCCCACCCCGGACGAGGATATAATTTCTTCTTTTTCTCCGTGCGCGCGTGTTTTTTTTTTTTTTTACGCTCACCCGTAAGAGAGGAACTGCACGGTTACGGCGGGCGGGCGCGAAAAAACTGTTATGACCTCCCCGCTGGGAACGTCAACTTTGTACTTTGGATTCGATAATTTTTAAAATATATCGCCCCGCTCGTCTACCGCCGCCGCCGCCGCGCCACCGGGGCACCACGATAACGTCGTCGTCGTTGCCGTTCCGCTCCCCGCCCCCCGCCCCTGCCCCCGTCCTATTTCGCGTTGACGGCGGACGGGTCGGGGTGGGGGGCGGGGAACGGCAAAAGATACACCTTGTCAACTTGAATTCGTGACGGCATTATATTACAATTATTCCCGGTCGCGCGTCGGAGGAGACGACACTGCAGCGGCGAAAACTCCATAAATTGGTTTTAATGCGGCACTCGACCGAGTTTGTTTTCGCTGCGAGCGGGAGAAAAGTCTTGCCAATATGAAATATTGTTCATTAATCTGTCTTGTTAGCCGGAAATTATTGCCGACGGAGGATCGAGTTCCGGGCTCGCAAATCCATATCCCCGTCCATCCGCCTACCGTACCGCTCCTCCACCTCCTCCGCCGCCTCACTCGCCGTCCCGCGCCGCAGCTAGACTCGTCTTCCCTTCGTCCCGCCGCCGTACCGTTACGGACCTCTCCTCGCGCGCGCGTGTATATTTATACGTGTGTTTTTACACTATCTGCGATTCGCTCATCTGTGCATACGCACCACAGCGAAATTTCTCCATCCCGCCCAGCATCCTCGTAAAAAGCCCGTTTTACACTCTTATGTATATATAGATGCATATAGATCAAATTTTCGATAGTTTTTAATACGCGGGTGGTGCGACAGGCAGCCGGCCAAAATGGCCGTGCCACGCTAATCATTCGGATTGTGAATGCATGTCGCCAACTCAATGTCGGGTTATGCTAATTGTTTCCATTAATTAAACCGAAAAACAAAAAAAAATATAATAATAATTAAGAAATATAATGCTGCCGTCGTCGTCGGTTGACTGAAATGTGTAGTTGGCAGATGGTAATAATAATAATAATAAAAAAAAAATAATAATAATAATAATAATAATAATAATGATAAAACACGTCGTCGTCGTCGTCGTCGTCGTCGTAATTAATGGAGATGAGGAGCGGAAAAAAAAACCGAACGCCGAGTATATAAATTTTGATAAACGCCTTCATTAAATCAAGGACTCGGTCAATCTATTCGTGTCAATTTTTATAATGCGCGCGTCTCGTTTTCAGACGACACGAAATGTCAACCCGGTCATTAGTCCGGGACCGCAAAAACATTATAATACAGTCCTCTCTCCCCGCTCCGCCCCCCTCCCCCCTCACCCGTGACTCGCGTACGTTACATTTCAGGTTTTCGTGTGCGTTTCCTTGCCGAACGTTCGTAAAACTACGATCAAACGTCTTGCACCTTGGCGAATTGTCACGGTATAGTTACAATAACATTATCGTTCGCATAAAATTATACGCTTTTAACCTCGGACGCGTACGGAATGTTCATCATTATTATTATTATTATTTATTTCTTTTTTTTTTTGTCGCGTGGAATATCCATTTTTGTCGTATTTAACATTTTTTTTTTTTTTTTTGTTTTTTGTTTTTTACAGAGAACCGAACAGTCCGTCTAAAATGAGCCTCAAAGGATCGCCCAGAAGCGAATCGAGTCTACCGCCGTACGAAGTACCGCTGCTGGCCACCGTGTCGCCGGGCCGTTCGCCGCCCGCGTCGTCCGACGTGTTGGACTTCAGCACGAAAAGGCCCGCCAGCCCGGCGTGTTCGCCGCCGCTGCCGATGCCGGCCGCCATGAACTTGAGCAACAACAACGATGACTCGCCGATCGACCTGACCATCAGGAGCAAAAAAATCAAACTCGAACCGTCGCCCGTGTCGCCCGTCTCCCACGACGTATACGCCAGAATGAGTCGGCCGTGGGCCCAATACACTAGCCCGCCGGCGATCCGGCCGATCACCCGGGCCGAATTGATGACGCCGCCCAGCGCCGACCCGGTCCACATGCCGTGGAACGGCAAACACGGAAAACTGTCGTACGGGGCTTTCCCGACGGTCGCTAATGACGCGACCAAGGCGTTGGAAAAAATGTGTGAACTGAGCAAGCTCCAAGACGAACCGCGGACGGTGTTGGCGCCCAGTTCGGGTCGGCACAGCGCGTGGCAATCGCATTGGCTGAACAAAGGGGCCGACCAGACGAAAGACGTGCTGAAATGCGTCTGGTGCAAGATGAGTTTCCCCACGCTGCAGGCCATGTCCACGCACATGGCCGAAACCAAACACGGCACCGCGGCCGCCCAGAGCCTACAGCCGCCGCCGCCGCCGCCGCCACCGGTGCCCGTGTCCACTTCTTCCGGGCACAAAAACGATCTCAACATGTTGATTAAGGAGACGATGCCGTTGCCCAGGAAATTGGTACGCGGTCAAGACGTTTGGTTGGGAAAGGGCGCGGAACAAACGCGACAGATACTCAAGTGCATGTGGTGCGGCCAGAGCTTTAGGTCGTTGCAGGAGATGACTACGCACATGCAACAGACGCAACACTACACGAACATCATTTCGCAGGAGCAGATCATATCGTGGAAATCCGCGGACGAAAACAAGTCGTCGGGTGGCGGTAACGCCGCGGCCGCCGCAGCGTCGACCAGTTCGCCGGCCAGCGCGGCGGTGAGCACGTCGGCCAACCACGTCAGTGCCGTACTCACGTGTAAGGTGTGCGACCAGGCGTTCAACTCGCTTAAAGAGCTGAGCGTGCACATGGTGAAGAACTCGCACTACAAGGAACACATGATGCGCTCGATCACCGAGGGCAGCAACAGACGCCGGCAGACGCGGGAGAAGCGCAAAAAGTCGTTGCCGGTGCGCAAGCTGTTGGAACTGGAACGGGCCCAGCACGAAGTGAAGAACGGTGACGGGGGATATCCGACGGGCGTCGGCGGCGGCGGCGGGTTCAAGGCCGCCAACGACACCAACCACCGGCTCGGCCGGATCATATGCGAAAAGTGCGGCGAAAAAGTGGACGTAGCCAGTTTTATGGAACACTTGCGCGTGTGCGTGACGATGACGGCGGACCAAAAGAACCTGTTGAAGACGGCGCTGATGTCGCAGAACGCAGCCATGTCCGCCGCGGAACACGGCCCCCGGGAGAAGAGACCAAAGAAAGAGGACAGATCTCATCAGGCAGCGGCCGACCTAACAACGAACAAGCCGGCCGCGGCCGCCTCCACGACCAGTACGTCGTCGCCGTCCGTACTGAACGCCATCGAAAAGCTAATCGAGAAGAGCTTCGACTCGCGGCTCCGCTACGGCACGTCGGCCACCGGCGCTTCCATAGGCGAGAGCATACTGAAGCGGTTGGGCATCGACGAGAGCGTGGACGCCACCAAGCCCATAATGGACATGCAAGCGATGAACCTGTTGCGCAGCTACCAGTCGCTGGGCCGTCACGAGCGGAGCGGCAGCGAATCGAGCTCCATGTCGCCCGAGTTGGCGGCGATGCGGAGCGATTCGACCACGCCGGACAGGAAGTACGAGTCCGACTATCAACGGATGCGTTCGGTGACGCCCAAGTCGACGCCCGAACGGCACCATTCGCCAAAGTCGGCGGCCGGCAAGAACAATAACGGCCACGAGATCGAACCGAAGGCAGACGCTTCGGCCGAAGACGCGCAGGGAGGCGGCGAGTCGTTCGAAGTGAAAAAAGAGTACGTGGACGAAGACGACGGGTGTTCGGTGGTGGCCAAGAGCCCGATGGAGCTGCAGAGGGCGAGGAGCCGCGACTCGGCCGAGGTATCGGCCGCGGAAGAGCCCAACGGGTCGTCGAGCCGGGGCCCGACGCCCACAAACGTCAAGAGCCCGCCGAGCCCGGCTTGTAGCGACAAGTCGGCGGACAACGGCGGCAAGAAAACGCCCTCGGCGTGCACGTCCAGCCTCGGCGCCCTGTCGTCCATGTTCGAGAGCCTCACTTCCGCGGCGGCCAACAGCGGCTCCGGGAGCGGCGGCTCGTCGTCCGCGGCCAACGGCGACGCCGGGGGCGGCGGGAAGGGCGGCGGGGTCAGCAGCCATCCGCTGGCCGCGTTGCAAAAGTTGTGCGACAAGACGGAAAACCACCATCACCCGCACCATCACCGGCCCAGCAGCCGTTCGTCGTCGAACGCCTCGGCCAACGGACCGGCGGGGCCCGCGCAATCAATGTCGCCGCCCGCGTCCGTCTCGGGCTGCAGCACGGCGCCCGGTTCCATACTGGCGTTCAGCTGGGCGTGCAACGACGCCGTCATGACGGCCGACTCGATCATGAAGTGCGCGTTCTGCGATACGCCGTTCATATCGAAGGGCGCGTACCGCCACCATTTGTCCAAAGTGCATTTCGTCAAAGAAGGCATCACGCCCGAGCCGATCATGCTGAAGCCGGCGTCGTCGTCGTCGTCGTCGTCGGGCGGCCAACAGTCGTCCTCGTCGGCGACCGCGCATTCGCCGTCGCCGTCGCCTTCGTCGTCGTCGCAAAACAGATCGTCGCCCAACCAACAGCACCACCACCACAACAACAACAACAACAACAACAACAATAACAACAACAACAACGGGTCGCCGTCCACGTCGGCCGGAGGTTCGGGCGGCAGCGGCGCCAAGAGCCCCGATACCAAAAACGGCGGTTACGACGAGAGCCCTCACTCGAAATTCCTCAAGTATACCGAGTTGGCCAAACAGCTGTCCAGTAAATACGTCTAGTCAGTATTGTAATATACGTTAGCACATTAAACCTCTTTGGGCCCCCTAACCCCTCGCTCGCGTTTTCGCGGCACACGATCGATTGTAGGCGTTCAGGCGTACGCGAATTCATTGTTTTTTTTTTTTTTTTTTTTGTTTCTAAATGTTTTTCTATCCGAAATTTTGTGTCCGACAATGACGAGTATACCTATTATTATCATGATAAAAAAAAACGTATACGATATTCCTGCGGTAGTACCGGACGTTGTACGAAACAGATGACTATATTATATTATTATTATTGCGTAGTTAGAAGATAAAAAGATAAGAAGATAAAAAAAAAAAACCAAAAAAAAGAAAAATGTAATTCTATTATTATTCCGCGGTGTATACGAGAAATTTTTTTTTTTTTTTTTTTTTGTTTTCGATTGTTCTATACACGAATTATTATTATTTAGGCACACGTGTATACGGCCGTTTAGAGATAGCTATATAGGGGAGGGGGGCGAATAAAAAAATAAACGATGTGATTATACGCTCCGCAGTTGTATACGAACGGAATACAATTTATTTATTTTTTTTTTTTTCCGTATTCTCCATAATTATTACGTATTACTATTATACATTTGCGTATACGCGTTTTTACTCGATAATTTTTCTTTACATTTTTTTCGCGCGGTTTTTAGGCGGCTACGATGTTGTAATAGCGATACCGCGTTTTATTAATTATTAATATATGTATAAAAAAATAAATAAAAATGTTAATTTATTATCGTATTTAGTTAATAATAATAATGTATTGTATACCTGTATTAATGATTTTTTTCTTTTTTTTTTTTGTAATTAACTATTAATTTATTCATAAATTATACGATATTATAAATAAATATATACATACATAGATATACGTTTCTGCTCATACGTTTTATTATCGTATATATATATTTGTATACCCATATGATTATTGTAACAAATGTGTATAGGTACTTTAAGAAAATACAAATCGTTTTTTTTTTTTTTTTTTTGGTTTTTGAGGAAAAAAAAAACATTTTAAAAAGGCTGTCATTTACGTCAACTATGTATAACGATTAAACGCTTAAGTATTATTATTATTATTATTATTATTATTATTATTGTACGGTAGAGTTAATGTAACAAAAAGGTTGAAAAACCTATGAAATTATCGTGCTACATTATGCAATAGCGTTCACGCATAAGGATTTACGATAATATGATGTTGTGTACGATTTCCCGTTTTTACGCGTCCGCGCCCGAAACGCCATTCCATTATTATTATTATTATCATTATTATTATTTGAACTCTGCAAACGGGGGGGGGGGGGGGTGGGCTGGGAGTGTGAGGGGGAGAGGAGAGAAAACCAATAAACAAATTTTCGAAAATACACCGCGTTCCTATATATATGTATAAATATATACGTACATTTGGTCGTATGCTGTTTGTACCATCCGACATGTTTTTACCCCGTTCGGCGGCTGTACTCGCGAATAGTAAAAAAAAAAAAAATAAAAAAAAAACAAAACAAAAAAAACAATGACGACGCCCGGTCGGTAAGGCCGCGAGACACGGATAACGGAATAACATACACTTTCGTTTTCTATCTTTATTGTCGTTACGATTACTGTTAATGATTTTTTCTTTTTCGCCCCGGCGTCCCGTTGCCCGTACGCGACGTCGTCGCGCAAAATTTAACCGGCCGGGCGCGATACGAAACGAGCGAAAAATAAACAAAAAAAAAAAAATTCCAATCGAAACAGTTACCGTTCGAATAGTTTTTGTTCCGTCTCTCGCGATTTTTCGGTTTTTTTTCCCTCCGAATCCACAATGGCGATTCCGCCGCACGCCGCAGTCGTCGTCGCGCGCGCGTCCCGTCCGTTCGCTTTTCGTTCCGCCCGCGGGCAAACCGTACGGTAACGGCAAGACCGTCCACGTCGCCGCCCGCGACAGTCACCAAAACGCGACATTTACACCCGACCGCACGACGATCGCCGGTCGGGGCGGGGCCGCGGTTCGAAACGGTACGCACAGTCCCGCGCCGCGGGCGTAATTTTTAATTTTTTCTTTTTTTTTTTTTTTTATCCCTATTGCTGTTCATTTCCAGTCGGATTCGATATTTTTTCTCTTGCGTCCTTCACTCTATACTGTGCATTACGGTTATTATTATTGCAACTGTGTTATCGACCGTCGACGCGCGTATACGCGGTTTCCGCGGTTTTGTACCGCGCGGCAGTATGCCGGGAGCGCTTCTAAAATAAATATCGTTTTTATTCCGAGTATACGCGACCTAAACGATTGCCGTCGCACGGCCATATTGTTATTAATATCCGGAAAACTCGATGGTAAAAAACAAAAAAACAAAAAAAAAAAATTAATAACAATACAGAACCTACTACGAGTCCTACGAGTATCGCGGTTATTATCGTACACGAATATATACGTCTCATGTATACGATTAAATATTACAATAGTATATTAAGTATTTAGTGTTAAGTATTATGAAAAAAAAAAAAAAAAAACCATTTGTTGGAAAAACAAAACAAAAAAAAAAAATAATAACAAAAACCCGACAATTTCACTCGTGTTCTACCGGTTCGTCCGGGCATAATAAATGCAACGACACGACCCACTCATTTGTAGGATTTCGACTATATTTCATTATTATTATTTTTTATTTATTTTTTTTTTTTTTTTTTTTTTTTTTTTTTTTGTTTACAAGGTTACTATTACGATATAATATTATTATTATTATTATTATTGTCATTATTATTATTATTATTATTATTATTATTATTTTGTTTTTCATTTTAAGTATTATCGAACTATATACGTCATTATAATATTATTATTATTATTATTATTATTATATATATAAAAAAAAAATCCTTTTGTACATAATATATTTTAATTTTCAAATATATACATATATATATATATATATATATATACATAAATATACATAATAAATACAGCGTTAACTACATCCGACGGTACGATATTATTGTAATGTATTATTATTATTATTATTATTATTATTATTATTATTATTATTGTTATATGCATATTTATATATATGTATGTATATGTATATATATATATATATATACATAAACTGTATGTACTTATTTATTTATTTATACACATATATATATATATATATATATATATATATGTGACGTCGTAGGCAATATTTGTTTTTAATTTTTAACAAAAATAAATAATAAATAAAAGACATTTCGATTTGACTGGCCGTCGTGTTTATTTCGTGTCGCACCTATCCCATCCCGCCTATGTACCCGCATCCCATTCCGCGTCCTTGATAACGCGCGTACGGGACACGCGAAAACATTGAATGCGTCCGTCGGACATTCAGACGGGAAATGCCGGTGGAAAACAAACGACGCAAAAGCCGAAATAATATCGTTGCGACGAAATCGGGTGACGATCGTAAATAACCGTAATATACGATATTCTCGGCGAAATGTATCGTTTTCAAAATTCACGTGAAAACGCCGATTTATCTTTGCGACAAAAAAAATTTAAAAAATACGGCCGGAATCGGACCTCTCTATACGAGAGTTGACGACGTTTATTAATTTCCGAGGACCCCGCAGCTTATGACCAGGCAAACACCCAAACATTATACGCAATACCGTTGCTTTTACACTACTGAATAGTGCCGGCGGAATTTGAAAACTGCCCGACGGTCGCAGGCCGTTTCCAACGGAAAACCACGGTCCAATAATAGATTTATTTTTTTTTTTTTAAAAAATAATTTAGGTATACACAGGTGACCGGTGTTACCGAGCGCGGTTACCTCTAAACGAATAACGGGTTTACGAGGGGACATGTACTTTGTGGCGGTCGAACGGATATTATTGCATTATCAATACGTCGCCGAGGCGCCGGAAATAAAGAGAAAAAAAATAATACGGTCCGACAAATGATCGATTCCCTTTGTGCGTTTTTCACACGACCCGTCGGATACGAACGAAAGATACTCGCTCGGGTCGGGGGTTGTGGCGGGCGGGCGTCTCCGGGGACGACGACGGTCTCTGCTCTTGCGACGGCGTTTACGCGCGGTTGTTCGTAATCGACGATACGGTCCGCGGAGTTGTGCCGCTGACGACGTTATGTTGCGCGGGGCCGGCGAAACGCCGTTTCATCCCCGGGAAATTATTCACGAAGCCGATACGAACAGCTGAAGGACGGCAAGAGCAAATATCCGCGGGAAAATTGGAACGATTTTTCCCCCGTGCGATATCTGCCGGACGTGGTTTCGCACACGATTGCCATTAGTTTCGATCGGGTTCCGGGCGCGCGAGCTCGCGAAACGGTCGGACGGGGCGAAATCGGATTGTTTGAGTTTATGCTCCGCGCGCGGTTCGTTTCGCCTGTCCGGCGTGCGGTGCGGCCACGGCCCATTTGCGCCCCCGCGGAACGTGGACAGACGCGCCCGAAAGATAACGTACTCCACCTGCCGTTGTACGGCCCCGCATTAGCCCATATTTGCCGATTTCGCATGCAACGTTCACGTTATGATTAAAATGTTCGTGGTCGTTTAATTCCGATCGTAGCGTGTAATAACATATTGATTTTGCAACGTGTGTTACACGATACGTGCGAGGTGTACACGAAAAATTCAAAAAATTAATCTTAAAAATAGAAAATGGATACGCGGATTAAGTAGTTTAGTCAGTTTGATCACTTTAGTAATAATTGTCCTAATACATTTGCAAGTTTAAATTTTAACATTTTGTCGAAATGCCGTGCGTTTTACAAATTTAACTAATATAACAATAATTTACGTAAAATACAGGATTTATTAATTGAACAAAAAAAAAATTTAATTGATTCACACAAAATCGTTATTCGGTGTAACCGATCTCGCAAAAATAAAACAGAATAAATAATATAATCACCGTATTCCAGTATACTGGTCAGTAACGTTGCGTACGCTTTTAACGCGTTTTTGTATGGAAAAAAAAAAAAAACATTTTGGGCGCTAATGTGCTATAAAAAAAAGATGTGACGGGGCCATAGCGGACTGCTCCGTACGGTGCCACGAGTGTATAGGGGGAGATCTGACTCCGCTGAGTCCTAACAGCACGGTTGTCCGATCATAAAACGCGGTATGATCACACTTACCAATTCCCATGTTTCCGTATTATTATTCTGATCAAAATTGAATTTTTCGACATTACACTTTCGGTCGAAGTATTTAAATGCTCTCTGGAATTAATCGTCGACATTTCCGTCATAAGCGACCTGTATCAGACAAATTACTATAGAATGGCTCTACTGTCAAATTCGCGAATTGTGTGACTTACTGTGGTTTAAGATTGGACAGCAGCTTTGCGACCGAATTAGGCGGGTGTACGTGCGTCACGGCGAGGTGAGTGTTCCGACACTCGTGCCCCGACCGAAATATAATTGGCGAGCGGACCGTGGGCAGCCGGCGGCGTACGACCGCGGAACCGTCGTCGTACGGGTCCGAGTGTGTTCGAAATAAAAACTATAATGACAGTTAGCATTACCGATTTGTTTGCGCAACAAGACGAACGGCGGCGGATAGTTTAGAACATCGGCGTTTTGAAAATGTCGCCGCGCACGAGGGCGATAATATTTAGTTACGCGTTCCGTGGTAATTCCGAAGGCTCGGTACACGACGAGTACGTTTTTAACCGAATCGCGTCCGAAAACACCGATATCGAAAGCGACAGAAACCGTATTATTGCGTGTACGTTTGTCCGCGGTTTCCCCGAACCGTTTGAGAAAAACCGCGAGGAAAAGCGAAAATGTCCTCCTCGAAACGCACCGGCCAGGCGACGTTTGCCACCCGGAAACCGTTTGCGCGCGTCGACGATCGGAACGAGATTTCGGATTTAAAAAAAAAAAAAAAAAGTCGTCGACGGGGACAAGAAAAAAACCGTCCGCAATATGATCGCCGTCATTATGCGAAAATTGTGACTGAATCACGAGCGGCCCGGTGCGCGTTATAATACGGGCGCGCGCGTTGATCGTGCATAAATTATACGCGAGGCAAGTGCGGTGCAAGAGTATTATTTTAATAGGTACGATACGTATTATCATCACGAATTGTGGAAAAAAATTCGAGATACGGCGATCCGATCGGTCGGACAATCGACCCGACGCGTTTACAGTGGCGTATCGTTATTTTTTTTATTTTTTTTTTTTTTAATCCCGCAGACACGACGGTTGTCGGCGGCGCGGTAAACAACGGTCCGCCGTGTCTGACGACGTTCGCGCACGATTCCTTTATTTTTATTTATTTATTTTTTTTTTTTTACTTTTTTTCTCCCCATTACCGAGAGTTTTAAATCCGAAAATTACCTCTCAAAAGTATTACGTACACCGATATTCAGGTATCGCGTTTTTCCGGTTGAAATTAACCACCGAGGCCGTAAGCGCGAAAACGAGGGAAGGGCTTCGGGGACTCCTCGAAAAACGTCAAACAGTTTTTGTTCTCGGCGATGTTTGTGTACGTTCGTCGATTCGGACGTTTCTAAACGAATAAATAAATAAACGACACCGGAGTATTCGCGCGCGCGCCTAATAATTCGCATCGCGATAAATAGTTCTGAGCCCAATAATACGACCTCACTATTGTACTGTAGACTGTATAGCTGCTGAACGAACGTTGAATTCGTAAACATTTGTGGTGAATTTTATTGTTTAGTTATGTATCGTGATTATAGACAAGTGTTCGAAACCGAGTGTAGCGGTTAAAAATTGTTTTCGGGTGTATACATTTGGAAACGCCTCAGTTCCGGTTTAGTTAGGTAAGGTCCTGCCTATGGAAGTTTGCACCGTCAAATCTCAAACGCTTTTCGCGCCCGCGACCGTGTCCACACTAGTCAAAAGGGCGTGCGCGGGAAAGAGAGAACGGACAATTTCGGAAAATCAAATCATATTAACCACGGGCACACCCCGCGTCTACATTTATTGACGGCGGCTCCGTAACCGCAGTGTCTATACGGTTTTGAAAAACGATTGTTCCCGAAAGAAAACTTTTTTCTCTCAGTTTTCTCCGGCGAAAATCAATTATGTTTGGGTAATTTTATTACCTCTTACTAATATATTTTTTTTTTTTTTTAATGGAATTTCGGAACCTATATAATTGAAACATTTAACGCTTTACTGCAGTTTCGCGTCACTGTGGCCGGGCTTTCGGAACAATAATGTAATTTTTTACAAACTTTTTTTATTATTATTTCAATGAAAACCACAGTGGCGTTTTATCGAAAGCGTTTCGATTTTCCCGTACAATTCTAAAATATAATCATTACTAATTTTGTATTATTGGTTTTTTTTTGATTTTTGATTTTTTTCACATATTGCATAAAACCCGCAACGGATTTCTTTTCACGCGTTTTTGTCGTCTCTTTTTCCGAATAGCGAAACGCGAGCGCCTATGTATACAATATCAAATATGGTTTTTTTTTTTTGTCCCGTTATAATACGCGTGTGTATTTATATTTCACACTATACTTCGACGGCGGCAGCGACGTTCACTTTGTACAATAATAATATGATGTATAAAATACATAAAAACCTTGAGCTGTTGGAAAAAAAAAATATACGATAAAATATGAACGCGAGCGCGCGGCTGGCTGCAAAGGCTAACAAATTACTCATAGAGTTTGACACCGCTGACATATGTATATACATGTATTTTTTTTTCGGTTCGAAACGTGAATCAATGTAAATAAAAAGATCTGACGAAGAATAATGAGAATAATAAAACAAAAAAAAAAAAATAAAAATAAATAAAAACCAAACACTAACGAACTGCAGTCGTGGCGGCGGCATCAATATAATGAAACGTCGAATTCTGGTTACAGCGTGTGTCGCCGTGTTCCACGTCGAATGCGTCGAATAATATCCTTGACAACAATATTACAGCGATATAATAATATTTAGATGTTCGACGTTTAAATCCGAAGGTTTCTTTTTCTTTTCGAACTGCTTTCCGAATATATC